TTTGAAGAAGTACTTGGTATCTTTCTAGGTTTTAAGGGCATTCACATTAGGTACAGTTGCCTTGAACTGTGCCAAAAAAGCATCTGTCCACCCTCCCGACTCTCCCGACGACCTACACTCACACTGATTTTGCCCTCCAAACCCGAGCACGCTTACATCATTAATGATGCGACTGTTCAGTTAAACAGGAAGAGAATTGTTCTCGCTCAGCACAGTGGAGATTTCTTTAGTTATATCGTTTTAGTCATTTGGGATGCTCTTAAATTTTAACGCTCATAAATGATCATAAAAGTCATCGTGCTGCAGGTATTAGGAGGTTTGCTGAAGGTGCAACTGGCATGCACCAAGGGGTTTGCGTCTTTAATAAACTACAACAGTTTGTGTTCACTGAAAAGTAAGAATGATTATTAAATTCATATGAAACAGTCCTTTAAATGTGACGTCGTGTCTTCAGTTTCAGGTTTAGGTGCGCTTTACACTCACACTACAAGCCCGATTCAGAATAGTCACACTAGTCAAACGAACCGGGAAACGCACCTGGGCATATTTCGGATAACATAGTTTGAGCGCACCCCAAGTGTTTCAGGACATCCGCTATCTTTGGAGGATCAGAGAGCTCTCAGGTTTCATCTAAATATCTCAATGTGTGTTCAGAAGATAAATTAAGTTTACAAGGGTTTAGAATGACATGGATATAAATAAATGATAATTAGTTAAATTTTTAAGTGAACCCTTCACATTTTTCTGCTTCTCCACTACACCATCTTTCACTCTGCAAATGTTAAACTTCACAAGCAATTAAGTACAAAAACGAAGTTGTAAATGAATTTCAGCTCAGCAACAAATTAGGCCAGTTCTTGCTAAGAACACAATAATATAACATTTAAAAGTATCCAAAAACACTTGGACAAAAATATTTTTTTATTATTATTGTCTCAAATTTAACAAAGGTTATGCTATTTAGCTGATTATTGTCCAGATTTTGATTTGAAATTTTTTTATAAATTCCTTAATCATATGAGCTGCAAATAGGCACTTCCTAAGTAAAACCTGAGTGTTTAGATCAGACTTTCCTCTGCAGTTGTGTTTATGTTATATACACAACTGATAGTATTGGCATTTGACTGGAGGGGGACAGACTCCATAGCACAACTGTAAAAACGGAAAATCTTTGCTTCATCTAAATCGTGCGTGCTTATGTCTGCGCTTGTCATGCTGCTTTAAGACATTCTTTGAGAGCTCCTGGTTTTAAAGTCACCAGTGAAGCATATCTTCAAACAGCTGACAGTCTATCTTGGGTTTTATGACCCAAAAGCACTGAATTCAGCAACTTCACCTGTGCGCTTCATCTCAGCTGCTTTCCTGAACAACTTTTTCATGGTTTTTATTAGAAGCTACAAGCTAGCAGACTGGGATCAAGCTTCGAGTTGGCTTTCAGCTTTAAGTTTAAGCTTTAAATGGAAAAGTTCACAGAAAATGACCTCACCGTATAGTTTATTCCTTCAGTTGAACACAAAAGAAGATACTTTGAAGATGCTGGTTGATGCTATTTACTTCCATATGAAAAAAATACTAAGACGGGTGCCATTAACTATTCAAAATATTTTATTTTGTGTTCAAAAGAAGAAAAACTCAAACCTTAAACAAATAAAGTAAATGATGACAGATTTCATTTTTAGGTCAACTATCCCTTTTGGCTTGCAACTGCTGTCTAAATAAACAGTTTCTCACTTCTACATTCTGGCTGAAAGAGAAGTGATACTCATCATCATGTAAACATCTGCAGCAGCCCTAATAAAATGTCTAGACACTTAAGTAATGATTGTTTTTTTAATTGGAAACATGTTAAGGTGATTTAGTAAATGTTTACAATACCTAAATCGCATGTAAATAAAAATATGATTAGCAAAACTACTACATTGTTTTATTGATCTCTTTTTTGTCCACCCCAAAACATATTAGCTGATTGACTTCATAAAAGGGCTCGTTTACACTTGGTATTCAAAGCTGATGCATCAAGTAATCGGTTTCACCCATGGCGCAAGCCTTGCGCATGGTCGTGCATTTATACTTCTGCGTGCCGTTTGTGTTGCTCTGCAATAACACTTCTGAAACACTAGCTGGCAGTAGGTTCTTTTGTTCCTCTGTGTTGGGTTTCTTCGAGGGTGTTTTGTTTTTTCTGAAAGCTACAAGAAGCTAAACCCCACTTATTCAGAGGCGGAAACCCGCAGAATAAAAGAATGAAGCTCGGCTGCAGCTGAAAAACAATGTTTATTTTGCTAAACTGTGACATGGTCATCTTGCGGAAATATTACCAACTGGACAATGTTGTGATGTTAACGTTCATGTGATTTAATCTGCTCACAAAGTTTTAATGAAATCCGAACACAAGAGAGACGTGTTAATTTTAGTGAAAACCAGTAATGAGTTTTTTTTAGTAATGATGGCCTATGAAAGTACCCTCAACCAGTAATCTGACTATTAATAAAACGGCAAATCATGCTGAACAACACATGTATAGCCAATAATTAGATGACGATGTGGTAAGACGGACCTCTCAATTTCATTTAAATGACCAAATTTGTCATTCAAAACATACACGCTACATTTGCTTAGGTTGGTGCTGATGGTCAGGCACAATCGAGGCTTCTCTACATTAGTATTCCAAGCTCGCAACTGGTTTAGCCCAAGCCTCCATAAAATGAACAACAGTGAAGGCCAAACTTGATTTAAGAAGCTTTGATTAGATGTATTGTAACCAGGCTTATGGCACTTCTGGCTTGTCTGTAGGCCATCTGTTGTCGCATTATGAAAGACAAACCAAGTAGTTCAAAGGCAGTTCATAGGAAGTCTACCTACTATACCTTTAGCAGCCATGCATGTGTGTGTTTAGCATTAGAGAGATGCACAGATTAACAACGACAATTATACATTCATTATAAAGACTAAATGAGCGTTTAATGAAACCATAACATGTGCGCATAAAAAAGAAGATCTGTGTAATCTCATCAGGAGACAAGCTACCAATTCCCTCTTTAGGTGAATTGAACAGTTTGTTTTGGTCCTCTAATGAGACCTTAAAAAAGCAGGAATTATTGGTTAATTTAATTCCTCCTGTATAGTTTGTACTTACAAATAGGAAAGTTGTTTTCAAATAATTTTGACTGGAAATGTTTGGCTTTTAATGTTTACAATATGTTGATTCAAAAACACACATTAGGTGCATTTTTGATTGCACCACAAGCGCAATACAAAAATGTTATATTTGTGAAAACTGTACGAATACCATATTTACAGACAAAATCTTGAAAATGCGTAAGCAATTTCAGTTTCATCATTCGGATGTTAGTTTAATGTTTTTAACAGGCATCTGTAAACAACTTTAACTGGCCACACAGCATTTGTTTTTGATAGAAGTTTAATCACAAAATGTTTTGGGGCACGGTGGCTCAGTTGTAAGCACTGTTGATTCGCAGCAAGAAGGTTGCTAGTTCGAGTGGCAGCTGGGTTAGTTGGCATTTCTGTGTGGAGTTTGCATGTTCTCCCCATGTTCAAGTGTGTTTATTCCGGGTGCTCCGATTTCCCCCAGAGTCCAAAGACATGCGCTATATACCTTTTTCTTTGTTGCTGCATGGAGGGGCGCCATAGTGACCAGTGCCTTCCGGTTGGCTGCTTAGAACTTGCGTTAAGAATTGTCATCAGCCAGAGAAGCTTTTAACAACTGGGTGTCAATACTGTTTTCAGTGCCTTACAGTGTTTTTGTGATGCAAAACTTTAATTTTGAAAGAAAGATGTGTGTTAAAGCCGTGTTGCTTCAGTCAAATGAGATTTAAGTAAGAGAGAAAAAACATTCTCCTGATTCAGTGTCTGCCGTCAAATTGGATGCTGAAATATAGTGTCAGTGTTCACAACCTGTCAACTGTTAGCGTGTACTTTGTGGCTCTTCAATGCAAACACACACACACACACACACACACACACACACACACAAACAAACCAACAATACCTCACTGCATTAAAAAGAGCAAACCATATTACTGGCATGGAACTAACAGGTAAGTAAGCCGTGTAATTTCCAAAAATGACCAATAAAAGTATGTGACTGCTTATCTGCTGGCTGATTTGCACTTTTTTTCACATTGGGACACTTATTCAATTAATATGTTAGTGGAACAGTACAGGCTACGTTTATGCCAAACATTTTTGTGAATTACATTTGTTTGGGTTGGTTGTATATTTGAAAAAGAGAAAACGTTGACTTTAGCGATGACAAGGCTTCATAAATGTTCTTAGTATTTAAATGAGGGAAGTTTTTAGCATCCTCAGACTAAGACTAAGCTGAAGGAAAATGAACGAATGACAAAATATTTTCTTCACATTTTAAACCTTTAAATTTTATCATAACGACATTGTAAGCACTAAGCAAACCAAGATTAAATGTACTGTTTATGAATACCTTTGTGCACACATACTCAACAGTTTCTTCATCTCAGTGTCAGTATATTGTGCTCATTCACGATCACTGTGCAGTGACAAAGTAAAGTCTCAGGGGGTTGGAAGTACATCAGGGTAACGTATAGTAATAACTAACAATTTTTGGGCGAACTAACACTTTAAGCAGCACTGAATGTCCTGGACTATAAATATGAACATCTACAGATCCATCTCTCAACATGTGTTGGAAAGCAGCAAATGGATAAAGTGGAGTAATCACAGAACGAAATGCCAAGCAGCTGCAGCAATATCAGGTCCAGCTTTTCAGGGGAATATGCAAAGCTTGGTTTTGATTTTTGATAACAAATTTAAACAAAATATACACACTAACAATCCAATTTATGCCTGGTTAAATAAAATAAAAAGCAACTGCACAAGTATAAAGCAAAGTCATGGTGCTTTAGTAATGAATGTCATGAGCAACACTGGCTGTTATAGCTACCTTTCCAACATATCCTTTCATTTGCACGTGGTGCTGTATCAACCAGTTACATACATAAACTCACCTGCTGGTATGACGACTCCTCTGGGCGAAAATCACTGCTGGTTTGCTCAAATTGGAGATTGAAGTGAGGCAGTCTGTGCAGCAGGTTAACCCACCACGGAGGAGAGTAATTCACGACGGCTGCCATTATCTTTATGACAATAACACTCCGAGCCGACAGAAACTAAAGCAGGAAGTTCACAACTAGGCTCTAAACAATGTCATTAGACTGTAAATGATATAAAACGCTGCTCTTCACAGGAAAATAACATCTGTCGTCATATATCCATAGTGATATGAAGCTAAACGCGGCTGTTTTGAAGCTCCAGCAGTCCCCAGAGTGAAACCGAAAGGTGGTGAAGTAAAACGATGTGAATACACCAACAGAGCTGATCGTTTAAAGGATTCGAACGGTATGAAACAAGATTTGAGCTTCCCTAACGTTATTCCTACCGGCTGGCAGAAATACACAAGGGAAGTGTGATTTACAAGCTCCTACTTCCTCTCTCCAAACTGCCTATTGTTTAGAGACATTAAAACTAAGCGCATCCACACGATACACCCTGAGATGAACATGCATTCAAAGCTGGATCCTTTCCTAGATCCAAGACTTAATCCTCGGGGTACTTTCAACGCCAGCCAGTTTTAAGATGGATCTCCCCGTTTGATGTCAGTCATTGGCCGAGATTAGTGCCGAGCGTTTGTCTTCGGCTCCGTCATTCCCATTCCTCCGTCCTTTCGTTCTTATTAGTCCTAAATGACTGGGAAAGGGTGTTTATTAAGTCGAAACGTCCATGTGTGGGTTAGTGGGCGCCACGCGACTCCTCCCTGCCGACAAAACTCGGTTAGATGAGCTGTAATCCAGTGTTAGTGAAGGGGAGAGAGAGAGAGAGACCGATGCCCACTGTAACAAACTCACGCTGAGAGAGACTGGATAATTATTTACCATGGTATGAGATAAGCGTTGAGAATGCGGACATCTAGTGGTCAGATATAATATTACATCAATTTTTGAGATAGATATTGACACGTGTTCTCACAAAACCTGAATAAATAGGTTCTGTCTGTACTATAAGATTTCAAAAATCAGTCGGCTATTAGATTGACTAGAGTTTCTTTCCATGTAAAGATGTTTACTGAATTCTCAAGCATCATAATAACAAACACCGGTCAAAAACTGTTCCTCTGTCTTTCTTTCACTTTCCCATTTCGTAAAATAACAAACAGATCAACAAGATTGGAGCAAACCATTACAAACAAAGGGGTGAAATCAACAAATGCACACAACTAAACAGGCCTGTAGCCAGCCTACTGAATGGCTTGGTTATTTTTTCTCCAAAAGTGGACCTTCTTGCAGTTATTCGCCTTATTTTCTGTTTAATTATGAGATTTAAATACTGTGTTTTAATGACATTTTAAGCACCATTTTTAGCTGAATTAGCTTGTCAGATGTTCATCATAACCACACTTTGTAATGTACCAAATATATTTTCTAAATATTTTAATAAATAAGTGTGAAGTATTACTTATTTTTAAAATACGTATTTATTACATCATATATCATTAGAAAAAAAAAAAGGATTCCGTTAAAGTTTCTAATTACAAACTAGCCTATTTGCATTTATTAAGCAAATAACAAACTGGCCATGCAGCCTCAGTCAGAATTTGGCCATTTGGTTATTTATACATTTAAAAAAAAAAAAATAAAGTTACTTGTAAAATGTTTTTTTCTATTTAAAAACAATGTAATGGCAAAAGAATGATTTTCTCACGTCAGATTGTGTGTTTTCTTGCACAGCTGGATGTTGGGTTCATGAAAATAAAATTGTTAGCTTTAGCCAAAACTAATTAGCTAAAGTCACACCGAAGCAACAGAGGATTCTGCTTGGTCTTAAAGTCTTTTTCAACAGTTTGCGTTCACTATTTATGCAAAATAAGAACAATGAGCTCATTATAGGATAAATTCTGGACTTTTGTCAATGAGGGGTGGGTCCTCCGAAGGACACGAAAGTCAATAGTAACAGGTTTTCAGCATTCTTCAAAAAATCTTCTTTTGTCTTTAACAGAAGAAAGAAGCTCGTTAAGGTTTGAAACAATAGGGTAAGTAGATGATGATAGAATGTTTAGTTTTGGGTGAACTATCCCTTTAAAGCTGTCTAAATTAAGTTCTCAGAAATGCAAATTTATAATGAAGAATTAAGTTTTAATATATTTTTGGGAGGAATTGATGAAAGATATATATTCTAATGACTTTTGCCATAAAAGAAAAAAATTACTTTTACTCAGACTTTGTATTTTTGGTTATTTAATACAAGACTATAGTTCATAATAATTCAATTGTAATTCAAAGACTATAGTGGTCTAGGGTCACATAACCCTACAGTTCTAGAAAACTAAGAGATCACTTCAAATTTATTGTTTTATCAGCATTTATTTTTTTGTATGAAAATATTTCTTTTTTCAATATGTAAGGTGTAACATGAGAACATGAGAAATGTTATATGAGTATATAAATTTCCGTTGGCTGTTTTCTCATGCAGTATAAATAAATATCTGAATTCTACCCCTTTCTCTGTGAGAAACACACAACACAAACACAAACATACATGCGTGCACATACACACACAAAACAACAAAAATCAAATAAATCATCACACTAATCAATCAATCAATCAATCAATCAATCAATCAATCAATCAATCAATCAATCAATCAATCAATCAATACCAACAATTTCTTACAAATGCAACTGATGTAGTGAAATTATTACCCTTGGTGAATTTTTTTTTTAGCAATTTTCATTATTTAATTGCTATATAGCAATAACAATAAAATATAAAATAACACTGTTAACTAGATTTCATAGTAAACACAAATCTATATAGTAATGCAAATTTACTGTTGCAGGGAACAGTATAGGCTTAATATTTAGTAACAGTTTAGTATTAAAAAATGCATTTACATTTTCACTTCCACGACAGACAAAGTGGGAAAATTATAAATTTTCATGAACTATCACATGCAAGTCAATAAGAGCATTGGCATTTAAGTTTCACTAGTAAAATTATGTGATGATAATTAGTCTACAATATGTGAGCAGTTTTACTGGAAATGTGATGCAGTGTGATTAAAGGTGAATTAATTTAAGCATCAAGAAATGATTAATCTAGTCTCCATATGATCCATTATGAGTTTATTACAAAATAATGTTCATCTAACATATAGTGACCCCTGCTTTATTAAAGTCTGTTGTTCATTTTTATAAAAGCTAATTTAGCTGTGTTCTAATGCACTGGCTTTTCCAACAGACAGTACTTCATCAATTGTTTTCTTAGTAAATTATAATAAACTGTGACTTTTATTTTTAGTAGTTCCTTAAGGTCAGGGTGGATTCCCAGGATGTGTTCTGTCTTCAACATTAAACTATATTGACCAAAAGGGGAAGAGCGAAACATATCCAAAGTTTTGTTGTCTGATCATTGCAATAACACAACACTTTTCAAAATAAATAAATAAATAAATAAATAAATAAATAACACTCTAAACAGCATAATAAAGTATAAATTAACATAGACCTACAGTATATGCACCAGTTTTTTTTTTTTTTTTTTGCATTCTTTTTTTGTGTTAACTATCAAACAAACAAACAAACAAACCTAACCACTTGAGGGTGAGCAAATGATGACATCTTCCATTATATGAATGTAAATGTGGAAGTTGAACTATTGCATTATTGTTCTATAACATTTTGTCTTTATTCATACATTTATTTTATCTATATTTATTTGTTTATAAAACAGTCTGTAAGTAATGTCATATAAAAGTAGTGCTTGTCCCACAGTCTATGGTTTGTCCTCAAAGAGCTTGATGGACATGAAGCTCCACCCACTCGCTCTGTCATACACTTCACCATGTGTTTCCACATCATTACAACTTTAAGGAGTACATTCCTGCTCTTTTCTGCAGGAAATCACATGGACGTGCCATCGCGCTCACATGACAGCTAAACGATGGCAGGGGACATAAATGAAGGTAAGGATTACAAAATACCAAAGTTTCAGCAACATATCACACAGTTTTGGTAATCTTGTCCGCTTTACTCGTGTTTATATTTTTATTACATTTTGACTTCCCGAATGTTTTTCTTGACTTTGATATCGCTGTTGATGTTTTTAAAAATCGCTACCGAAACATGTCACCTTTTCGTCGTGTTTCTATTCATCCTCTTGCCTTTATTGCTCTTTGCTGTTTCACTGGTTTCACCTGTTTAGTGACTAGATAACCGGTTATTTAATTTGTCAGAGATACATTATAATAGTACATTGCATTAAATTGTAATGTTTATAGGTATGTTAACGTTGTATCGATTTATCAAACAATCAATTGCATTCAGTCAATAGGATTTGTATTTTAAAAAAACATATAGAATTATGGAATAATATTCAACAATATACAAAACATACATTAATTTAATATTCTTGAAAAATATTGCAAGTCTTCTTTGCTTTTGATTAATAACGTTTCCCAAACTTGGCCAGTAGTCCTTAGTCTCTTAAAGAAAATGAACAAAATTTGGCTTGAATCCAGACCATTTGTTTATGTATGAAACTTTCCCACAATTTTAAAAAGTTGTAAGAAGAAGGTAAATTTGTTACATAGACATACTATGTCAACATTTTGTAACTTGAATATGACATTTGTTTTTCTTCTAATAAAAAATTCAACATCCACCCAGAAAATCCTTATATATACAATAACAAAACAGATGGACAATAGATTATTTTCCCATGGAACAAAAATCACAGGGATAATCATTATCAGTCAATAGGCCATACATCCATCGTTATAGGCTGAATGTTACTTTAAAAACCAACCAAATAATTTTTATTTATTTTTTTGACCCTTTAAGGGTCACACTTTACAAAACATCTTAAAATAAAGATTCCATTAGTTCATGTTGAGTAATGTACTTATTTACATGGACTGAGAATAAACAATACGTGTACAGCATTTATTAATCATAGTTTAACATTTACTAATAAATTATTAAATTCCAGATTTGTGTTTGTTGACATTAGTTAATGAACTGTGAATTTACAAGGACTAATAATGAATGACTGTATTTTCATTAACTTGAACAAAGATGAATTCATTGTGTAATAAATGTATTGTTGATTCATGTTAATTGTTAACGAACATTAACTAATGCAAGTGTATAGTAAAGAGTTTGTGCATCAAATGAAATGGCACACAAGTACCAATAAAGGACGCCCATGACAGCACTGTAAAACCCAATAAGTTATGATACCTCAAACCATTTGAGAAAACCGATTGCAACAAACCATTTAAGTTAAAAAAATCGAATCCTTATGAGTACTGTGAACTTAATCCATTTGAGGAATGAAGCAATTTGAGCACAGTAAAACCCAATAAATGAAGAGAACTCAAACCAACTGAGTACTGCAAAACCCAATAAGTTAAGGAAACTCAAACCGTTTGAGGAAACAGATATAAACCATTTGAGTTAAAAAACTAATCTATATGATAACTGTGATCTTTACTTTTAGTTGAAGTAATGAGGTCTTTAATTAACTCATGACCTTTAACACTGAGTTTAAAACTCTTTTCAAATGAGTAAAATTAACTTTCAGTCAATTTTGAGATAAGTACACTCATTTCATTTGATAAACTGTTGGGTTTTACAATGAATATATCCACATAACTTGGCCAGCAATGCTTAAATGGAGATAACAGAATAAAATATATACAGTATATTTATATTAGAACATATATTTATATCAAGTATTTTTTTCCATATACCAAACATTATGGAAATGGTAAATATTTAGTATTAAATGAAAAAGAAGCCTATAAAACAAGAATGTTTTAGTAATTGATTGATTTGAAATGTAAGCTGTTTGCATAACACTGGTATTAATCAAGTCAAAACTAATAATAATAATAAATAATCAAGGCTAAATTAAAGAATACAAAACAAGATAAATAGCAAGGGTTAGCTTTGTGAAAATTTATGATTGATTGGAAAATAATCAACAATTTTTTGTTCTTTAAATTTATTTTAAATCAATAATATTAGAAACTACTTGTCTATTTTTCTCAGTTAAAATAAGCATTTAAATATGCATTTAACATATTGTCACATTGGAATTATAAGGTTCTATCTGCGTTCTGAAAGTTTTTGAGATATTGAGCTTCAAAGTTTTGGCATTCCATATAGCAAACAGTATATAAAGTCTTAAAATGTAAACAACTTATTAAAAAAACACCCCATAATGTAAATAAGTTGTCAATAACTCAATTTTGACAAAAATTTCAGATAGAACCTTATAATTCTAAGGTGACGATTTGCTTATGATGGTCAACATTGCATTTAATGTCATTTTGTTTTTATTTAAGTGTTCCTATTTTATTTTATTTTATCCTTAAGAACCAACCCAACTCGGTTATCAAAAATAGAATTGTACAAATTGTGCAACTACAACGTCCTACCAGTGTTTTAGCAATCAGCATGTTTGGCACAAAAATGAATAGATCAGTGTGTTCACAAATCACAGTAGCACAAAACGGAAAAGATCCCAATTGTTTATTTTTATTTTGTTAATTAACTATTAATAACATAAAGCTCTTCTGAATGTAGGATCGGTCCCTTCATACTATCGTGAAGTACATCAAGCCCTCTGCTCCGCAAGTGATGAACGAGTGCCGGTAAATGTATTTCAGAGAGTTTTCACCAGAACATCTCTCCCCATCACTGTTCAAAACCAGGTGAGATTTACTCCAGGATTACATGTCATTATTGGTTAGGATGACTGTAGGTGGTAGTTAGCTAAATAACATTATTTAAATCTGGATAAGGATTGATTGCATGGTTTTGCCAGTGGAACCATGACCTATCCTGTAAAGACTCAATGATATCTACATTTTAGATTCTCGAACATGTAAACAGCAGTGATGGATTCCTAAGTAAAGTATCGCTATATAAAGCTCTGGCTCTCATTGCCCTTGCCCAACAAGGAAAACCACCAAGTCCCAAACTGCTGGAGAACTTCATACAAGGTAAGCACAAGCAGATTCCTCAGCTGACTTGTAAATGTGTAGCTTAATCAGATGTCATTATGAAGTCAGTAACCTCAGTTCGTCTCCATAAAGCTGTCTTCTGTTCAGGGTGTCTTGTGATTCTGTATGGTACTCTTACACGCTTTCCCAAATGATTTACATGCAAGATGAATTTAGTTTTTGTTGTCATAATCATGATTTGCACAAGCGATGAGTTTAAAGGGATAGTTCACACAGAAATTAAAATGTACTATTCATTTACTTACCCTCAGACCATCCAATAGCCATGACTTAATTTTTCTTCAGTAGAACAATATCATTTTAGGCAAAATTGTGGTCCTTGGTGATTTATAAAAGGCTTTGAGAGTAAAAAAAAAAAATATTTGAAGTGTAATTTTGTTTACTTTTTAAAATTATAAGTTGTTTTCGGGGTGTGTGCTATATTTGCCTTCTATGATAATATTGTATATGTTGTTTAGAGATGTTTGAGCTGACATTATAGGTACGGTATTCACAAAAAAACAAAACAAAAAAAAAAACATGGTAAATAAACAAGTTCCAAAATGTTATATGTTATTTTGCTTATTATAAGCTTTTGCTTATTCTTTTAAAGCTGTTTTTATATGTGTGGTGTTCTTGTATGTGCATATTAAAGTAAGTAACAATATTCATCACTGTTGCAAATGTGTTTTAGAACACAGGTGTCAAATTCAATTCCTGGAGGGCCGCAGCTATGCACAGTTAAGTTTCAACCCTAATTAAACACACCTGATCAAACTTTATGAATCCTTCAGTTTTGTTTAAACACCTACAGGTAAGTGTATTGAAGCAGGGTTGGAACTAAACTGCGCAGAGCTGCAGCCCTCCAGGAACTGGATTTGTGTTTTAAAAGGTATTCAATTGTTATTAAGTCAGTTTTACTTCAGAAATTGTACTATAAATAAAATATAACCATTGTACTTTTCAAAACATCCACATTTGATTTGCTCTGCAGGTGTTTATTTATTTATAGCATGTTGCTTGTCATATTTTTTTATTTGTGTGCCTGATTGACACATAAAGAACGGTATCTGCAGTTTTTTCTGAAAGAAGATTTAGCATTTTTTGTCTGAGAGCAACACTTCAGTGTGTTTCGTTCTGGAATTAATTTGTTTTTAAATCAATCATTTGAGTCCTCATTAGGGATGCAGCGATTATAGATTTTGGTTGTACGATTATATGGTTATCACAACATCAATATTATATCATATTAAAAAACAAACTGTAATTTTCTTTGGACTTAAAGTGAACAAAAAGTTTTTGCCATTTAAGCATAAGTAATAATTTTACACTGAAAATAAATGACAGAACAATGAATAAATAATATTAAAAAAGAATAAATAAAAATAGTATTTGTCTAATGTAAATGTAAGCATCATATTATCTAAGTATTTCCCTTTTAAAGAGAACAAATGTAGTCAAAGACTACTAAACCTCCGCCTGAAAGGCACTTTTGATCAACTATATTACAAAATTGTTTGGTATTTTTCTTTTGTATTTTTTCTCTTTGGACTAGAAATGTGTGTATTTCATAATACAGTCGAAGTCAGAATTATTAGCCCCCCTTTGAATTTTTTTTCTTTTTTAAATATTTTCCAAATGATGTTTAACAGGGCAAGGAAATTTTCACAGTATGTCTGATAATTCATAATAATTCTGACTATATATATATATATATATATATATATATATATATATATATATATATATATATATATATATATATATATATATATCTTGAAGGAGTATATATAGAAGCCATCAACTTGGATGACATGATTCACTATAAATCACAAGGATTCTTAAAGTGACAGTTGACCTAAAAATCTAAATGACCTCATCATTTACCAAGGTGTCCGCGAGGTCTTAAAAAAGTCTTAAATTTACTGAACTATTGGGTTGTAACTCTGTTTTAATTAATTTCAAACAGACCTTTATTTTCCTATGTCCATGTAGCTACCCAATTATACATCTTAAAACTTTTTTTATTACGTTTTTTTATTGCAAAGACAGACAATTCACAACAGCTGTTAGACATTTTTACTGAAAATTCTGCAAAGTAAATTTAATCAGGGAAAGAAAACTAAAGCAACACGATCCTCCTTTAATACAAAAACTATTTGCAGAACTAGCTGGCCCATTAGAAAAAAAAAATCCTTAATGTTTAGTCCTGTATAAGTCAAATTTTCTAATTTTTATTCATAATGTTCTTAAAGGGTCTTAAAAAGTCTAATATTGACTTGAAGAAACCCGCAGAAACCTTGATTTACTCTCCCTCAGTTTTTTTCTTCTGTTAAACACACGGGAAAGATATTTTGAAGAATAATGGTTGCAGCATTGTGTTTAACAGAATAAAAAAGAAAATCGAATAGGTTTTGAACAAATGAAGGGTGAAAAAATGATGAAATACTTTGTTTAGATGAACTACCCCTTTAGTGTTTCCTTGAAGAAAAAAAGATCATCTTGAAGGAGTGTTCTTAACCACATACAATTCATGTAAAAGCACTGAAGGGTTAAAGTTTCTATACAATAAGGGGTTCTTGTGTTGTTTCAGGTGTTGCCAGTATGGCAGTTGACTGTGCACTTTAAAAGTCATATTTCCTGTTTTCTCCTCAAAGCAAGACCATGTTTCCTGTTCATTCCATGCCAAATGCTCATCTCTCTGAAATGGCAGGGAAACATCTTTCTCTTTTTTTATTGCACATCACCAAACAAAAGCAAAGATTCTAGGTTTCAATCTGCTGAGACATCTCTGTTTTTATGCAAAATCATGTTAGTTTTTCCTATTTTGCATATTTTAAATTCTAAATCCGACACACAAACCACAGAAATCCACACTGTATGCCACATAGCTCAACATTGTCCCTTGTGTTTCTTTCATTCTCAGTCATTCCTTCTGTCCTTTCCATAATTGCATGTTATTTCTGTGGTGTTACCAAAAACATCTAATCTTCCTTAAAGTCATAAACTATGATTTTGCATTCTGTGTGTAATGTACAGTCAGTCACATCTTTCTAAATACATTCTGTGTCTATGATTTTTAAGATTTCCCAAAGCCTCAGCTGGGTGAGCCGAAGGAACTTCATAGTCTGAAGATGCAGACGGTGCAGGACAGTCCTCTCATCTTGTCTTTGACCCTGGCAGAGCTGTTGAAGAAGGACACCATCAAAATTGAGCTCACTCCAGAGAAGAAGGGTCTGTTTCTTAAACATGTGGAGTATCAGGTCACTAGTGAGGTGAGTTTAGAGGCAGCATTAAAGGCTCAGTATACAAGTTTACAATTCGTTTTTGCCACTTATGAAAGTAGGCTGTTGACAGTATCAACTTTTCTTTTTCCAATAATTGCTGAAGCGATACGAAAGTACATCCTGGATGCATCTAATCCTGCTTATACACTGAAAAAAAAGAACTAATCGGATTTGCACCATTTTCATTTTTTAAGGTTACTGTTGCAAACAATTTATATGGGCTGAATTTAAAAGTGCTGTATGTGAGTTTTTGACTCTTCTAAAGCATAACAATACCAATATATTTGCAGATATTAAGAAACATGTTCTTGAACAGTCTTGTTTATCTGAAAAACAATGCTGAAGTCAGATATTCTGCTTTGAAATATCTTTTTGTTTAGTGCCTGAACCCTAGCTGCATCCCAAATCACATACTTATGCACTATTCTACGCCATTTTGTAGTATAGTGTAAGTAGTGCGTTCACACTGAAAACTCTAAAAGTAATAAGTGCACTTTAATTACCCGGATGAGGCACTCATTCGACAAGTAAAATGAAGTGTGTAATGATGGACACTTCATGCACTTAACAGTCGCAGCTTTGCTCACGTAACGGAAAGGAGCGGAGCTATCGGGCGCACATGTTGGATAACTTTATTTTTTTTTGTTTGGTGAAAGCTAAATTCTCATACGAGAGTGATTATAGCGCCTCCCGATGGTGAATGCGGTTATACTCACGGTAGATATTATTGGATAGAATAGTTTGTTCATTTATTTCACTGATTTGGCAACCGTCAATCGTCATCAGGGAAACAGTTTGAATTTCCGTTTAGTAAAAAAAACAGTGTTCCATTTGGGACGACACTACATACATGTACTATGCTGTTGAGTGTGTAAGTGCATAAGAACATAGTGCATGAGTGCATAGTGTATAGTGTGCCATTTGAGACGCAGCTCCTGTCTTTGTTTTGGTTCTTTTAACCCTCCCGCTGCTAGTTTAGCCAATTATATTTCAGCACCCCGGGTTGCCTTTGTGGAAAACCCAATGTAATCTCATGGCAATTTGTTACTTTTTTATTTAGTTGCCAATTCGTATAAATTTGTACAATCTAATTTGTACAATTTAGTACGATTTGCTCATCACCTAATGACGGTTGGGGTTAGGGGTGGGGTTAGGTGCCACGCCTCCTTTTTTAAACAAATTCGTACGAATTACCTACTACTAAACTGACAAAACGTAAAATACTTGCGTTTCCTCGTGAGATCAGGCTGGGAAAACCACATATTTCATTTATTCATTGCAACCGTGACCGAAATGCGACCTCCAGCGGACAGTAGTACACTCCAAAATAAGACGCAGATTTAGAGTTTCAGATGAGGTTATTAATAAGCAAATTATATAAATATTACGAGCATAAACATTAGGTGAGCAGGTTACATTGTTACCCTGTGTCCTAACAATGATCTTTGTAATGAGATTTGCAGTGATAAGCAATTTGGCTGATTGCACCAGATGAAACTTGACAGAAATTTAAATAAAGCCATTTAGACGCACAAAATAATGTACTTACTGCACTCCAGCGAAATGGTTCGATTTATAATCTAATTAATACATATTAAACTTCTTTAACATTCTTAAATGTACATGCTAAATCACAGTTCTCAAGTTCAATTTTTAACGGTTTATTTCATTTTTAAGATCTGAGGTGAAATATCTGCTGCTGCTTTCAGTAATATGGCAATAAATGTCATGTAAAATGGCATTCAAACTCATATTATTAGCATTTTACACTGAATAAAGACCATGAGGTGTACCTGAGGAGATCATTGTTTTCTGTCGTTCATCTACAAGAAGTCTAATATATCTATTTGAAGTGTTGGTTAGAACAAAAACTCTTTTTAATATGGAGAATATTCCTTCTAGCTCGTGCATAACTTAAATCAGCCTTTAGGCTTGATCATGAGAGTTACCACAAAACGTAAAAATAAACACAAAACACGAAGCTGAATGAAACAAAAGGGCTAAATGGAGCATACACTAACCTACATATTCAGTTACCAGACTCTTTTAGGTTATTCTGTGATCGTCGAATTTAATGAAAAATCAAGCAAATGTCACAAAATTTTGTAAAGCTTGCATTTTTTTTGATGCCACAGATTTCCTGCACATTTTGGCCAGACAGGACACTGTTCAAATTACCCACCACACCACAGAGCATCATCTACATAGCTTTAGATTCAAAGACATTATAGTAATCATGAATAGAGTGTGCTCGTCCGGTGTGTAAAGCATTAAATTGTCAGCACACGCTTCTTGTCCAGTGTGTTTTGCATCATGTGACTTTACTGTAACGCGAATGAGTTATCAACAGGTCATATAAACCTCTTCATATTGTGTGTGTATATATATATATATATATATATATATATATATATATGCGTCTGTTGTCATAAGCATAGTCTTCTCCCTCTTTCTTTCTCAATAGCATGTGTTAACTATTAGCTATATACAAAAACTTACTATCCTTCGGCTTATTCCCTGATTTGTCAGGGGTCACCACAGCTTAATAAACCACCAATTCCAACTTTAGGTAGATAGAAGCTATTATATTAAAGTCTGTATGAAATGAGAATTTACATTGTTTGTTTTGGTAGCACACAGTGTTATTATTTAAGTGAACAATTCATCCATGCAAGATAATCTGCTGAAAAAAAGTTTGTTTTGGTAATCTTTAAAATGTTACCATTTGCTTTCACGTTTTTAGTGGTGGCTCTTTTTTGTTGATGTCAGTTTGACAGCTTCAGCCACAATTACTTTAACCATTCCCCTTCTACCGTTGGCTTGCTACGAGGGAATGATGAGCAAAAAGAAAGCCAGTCAAGACGCTATTCAATATTCCGTTTCAGCTGGAGGTACATCAACACACTGAAATAAAAAGACTCAGAAACCTCTGGTTTGTGCCGACTTTAATGTTAAATAATAATATTTTCAATCAATATTTAAGAAATTGCATAAGGTAAATTAACATGTACCATGAAGAAAACCACTGCCAACACAGCAGTCTGAATATTCCTCAAAGACATTCTAAAAGGTTTAATAATGGTATGTTGAAGGGCATCATCATTGAATGAGCAAATTTCTAGATCAGAGAAAAACTGTGGAGTCACTGTTACTTTGCCATGATGTACACGCCAACACAGTTGGGGAATTTTTTGGGAGGAAATTTTTGTCTTTTTATATGAAATGCCCACTTTAGCTTTAGTGTCTATCTCAGGTGATCTGATCACTTGTTGACAGCCCAAAATAAACATGAAAACAATATTCTAAAGAGTTTACACAATAAGGAAAGAGATTATTTGACTGTTTAAGAATAGCTTAAAACCTTTGCTTGAGCTATGAAATCATCCTGTAATATTAGCATGACTCTCTGCATTCTAAAAAGGAACTTGGGTGACCACTGGCAAGTTTCAGCAAAGACTGTTTTGCGATCCCATCACAGTGTAATTCAGAATTTTACAAAAGCCTGTTATTAAAGGATAATGATGTATTTGACACAACAGCAGGATCATTTAAGATAAAAAATCATTTTACTCTCCTGTATATATTCAGTGCACTTCATAGCGCTTCACTATTTCCACGTTTTTATATTACAGCCTTATTCCAAAATGGATTAAATGAATTTATTTCATTAACATTCTACACACAATATCCCATAAAAACAATGTGAAAAAATATGTTCTGAAATTGTTGCAAATTTATTAAAAATAAAACACCTGAAAAATCACATGTACATAAATATTCACAGCCTTTGCCGTGAAGCTCTAAATTGAGCTCAGGTACTTTCTGTTTCCACTGATCATTCTTGAGATGTTTCAGCAGCTTAATTGGAGTTCACCTGTCTATATAAGGTCCCAGGGTTGACAGTGCATGTCAAAGCACAAACCAAGCATGAAGACAAAGGAATTGTCTGTAGACCTCCGAGACAGGATTGTCTCGGGGTACAAGGCTGGGGAAGGTTACAGAAAAAAAATCTGCTGCTCTGAAAGTTCCATTGAGCACAGTGGCCTCTATCATCTGTAAGTGGAAGATGTTTGGAACCACCTGGACTCTTCCTAGAGCTGACCGACCATCTAAGCTGAGTGATCAGGGGAGAAGGTCCTTAGTCAGGGAGGTGTTTAATGACCCGATGGTCACTCTGTCTGAGAGGAGAACCTTACAGATAGACAACCGTCTATGCAGCAATCCACCCCTCAGGCCTGTATGGTAGAGTGGCCAGACAGAGTTTGCCAAAAGACATCTGAAGGACTCTCAGACTATAAGAAACAACATTCACTGGTCTTATGAGACTAAAATTGAACTCTTTGGATTGAATGCCAGGTATTACGTATGGAGAAAACCAGGCACCGATCAACACCAGGCTAATACCATCCCTACAGTGAGCATGGTGGTGGCAGCATCATGCCGTGGGGATGTTTTTCAGCAGCAGGAACTGGAAGATTAGTCAGGATAGAGGGAAAGATGAATGCAGCAATGTACAGAGACAGCCTGAATGAAAACCTGCTTCAGAGTACTCTAGACCTCAGACTGAGGCGAAGGTTCATCTTCCAGCAGGACAATGAACCAAAGCACACCGCCAAAATATCAATGGAGAATGAAAATGGCTGTACGCCGTCACCGACCATCCAACCTGATAGAGCTTGAGAGGTACTGCAAAGAAGAATGGGCAAAAATTCCCAAAGACAGGTGTGCCAAGCTTGGGGCATCACATTCAAAAAGACTTGAGGATGTAATTGCTGCCAAAAGTCCATCAACAAAGTATTGAGCAAAGGCTGTTAATGCGTTTGTAGATGTATTTTTATTTAGGTTTTTTATTTTTGATAAATTTGCAACAATTAAAAAAAATCTGTTTTCACATTGTCATTATGGGGTATTGTGTGTAGAATGTTGAGGAAATAAATTAATTGAATCCATTTTTAAATAAGGCTGTAACAAAAAATGTGGAAAAAGTGAAGCGCTATAATTACTTCCCAGATGCACTGTATATATGTTATATACATATAACAAATCAAATATGTTTTTTTTTTAGATTTTAAATACGTACTGAATGATTTATACAGAACACTATTTATAATGAAGATAACATATCAAAACAGAATAATGTTTCGTTGTGTCTTACCTGTGCTTGTATATATACAAATATCAATACCAAATTTCATTATAATAAAGTTATTATACTCACTATAAAAGTTTTTGCTTGCAAATAAGTAAAAATCTATGTTTGAAGGCTAGTTTCAAACTATAAAGTTTAAAATGACAGTTAATCAGTGTTGTGCAGTTGCATTGTGATCATTTTAATGGGTCATCAAATTATTCCTATTTCTAACATACATCAAATGTCATGCATGTCCAGATGGTACAACATATTGTTGTGTCTAAAATAGTATAGTATTATTATATAAAACACTGTATAGTTAGTTTTTAAATTTTCACAGTATGTCTGATAATGTTTTTTTTTTTTTTCCCGAAGAAAATCTTATTTGTTTTATTTCAGCTAGAAAAGCAGTTATTAATTTTTAAACATCATTTTAAGGTTAAAATATTAGCCCCTTTTAGCAAAAAGTGTTCCAAATAGTCTACAGAACAAACCATCGTTATACAATAACTTGCCTAATTAGCCTAACCTGTGTAGTTAACCTAATTAACCTAGTTAAGCCTTTAAATGTTACTTTAAGCTGCATAGGAGTGTCTTGAAAAATATCTAGTAAAATATTATTTACTGTCATCATGGCAAAGATAAAATAAATCAGTTATTAGAAATGAGTAATTAAATCCATTGTGTTTAGAAATGTGTTGAAAAAAAATCTGCTCTCCATTGAACAGAAATTGGGGAAAAATAAACAGGGGGCTAATAATTCTGACTTCAACTCTATATATGTGAAAGAGAATGCGGGAAACATTTATCAGTTAAATTCTTTTTAAGCTGGCTAAAAGCACAACTTATTTCAGTCATGTTCTCTTTTACAGCGTTTTACATTAACAGTTTATCGACGATACAGCGATTTCGATGTCTTCCACGAGCTTCTGCTTCAGAGATACTCTTACAGAGTGGTGCCGGCTCTGCCTCCAAAAAGGGCGCTGAAAGGAGGTAAAGTGATGTTTTAAACAGTGTAAACTCCCAGCCTGTAAATGCTGTTTAATCAAACCAGCAGATTACAGTCTAGTGTACTTCCCACTTCGACTGAGCTGTGACATTCAATGCTATCTGGGAAAGCACCAGACAAACAATAGCTGCTCTGCCAAGGTTAAAAAAAAGTAAACTTTCTCTGATTTTCTGCAGACTTCAGCAAGCTGTACTTCCATAGTAACTGAGTACCAGAACGTTCCTCGCTGTGTTGTATTAATGGAAGGACTATGTTTTGTTATTTCTGGAAAAGTTTAATCTTTCCTCTGTTCTTTGGCCCCTGCTGCAGTCCTGACCTCCGTGTCGGAGCGAGAGTTCATTGAAGGCCGGAGACGAGCTCTGACCAGGTTTCTGAATCTTGTGGCGCGGCACCCTGTGTTTTCTGAAGATGAGCTTGTGAAAACATTCCTCACCTTCAGTGGCTCGGTGTGTGGACTTTTTTCCTGACCATGAATTTGATTATTTGAGTTTCTTTTAAATGTTATATTTTATAAAAAAATGTTTATTTAAACTGCTTCTTATTTTGCATATTACAATTAATGTAGAGTTTTACAGTCAGAATGATTAGCCCTCCTGTATAATTATCCCCAGTTTCTTAATGGAAAGAAGATTTTCAAACACATTTCTAAACATAATAGTGTCAATAACTAATTTCTAATAACATATTTTTTAATCTTTGCCATGATGACAGTATATTATAACAGTGTTTAGGTCACAATTCACCATATTAACTACTGGCGTATTACCGTAATTGCCTATTATTAATGTATTAACTGTTTGTTAGTAGTTACAAAGCATGATCTTATGCTGTACCCCTAATCCTACCCAAAACCTAAACCCAACTTCTTCCTTACTAGTTATTAATAAATAATAAACAGCTATTTAGTAGTTTATTAAGCTAGTAGAGTTAGTTAATGGTTTGTAAATACTGTTAATTGTGAGCTAAACTAAAGAGTTAACATAATATTTTACTAGATATTATTCAAGATACTAGTATACAGCTTAAAGTGACATTTAAAGGCTTAACTAGGTAAATCAGACAAGTTAGGGTAATTAAGTCATTGTATAATTATGATTTGTTCTGTAGACAATCGAAAAAATTTAGCTTAAGGGGGCTAATAATTTTGACCTTAAAATGTTTTTTTTTTTAATTGTAAACTTTTATTTTAGCTAAAATAAAACAAATAAGACTTTCCTCAGCAGAAAAAAATATTATCAGAAAAAAAAATACACAGCTTCAACTGTATATATCTGTTTGTGATTGTTAAAAAAAGTTCTGAAAAGTTTCAAAAGTCAAAGTGCATTATAAATAATGTTATTGCCTCCTAAAAGAAAGATGTGTTTTTGAACTTCCTGAAATGAGTTGTCAGTAATTCCAGTCAAACTTTTTGCAAAACTTACAAAACTTTCCATAATTCCTGTTGAGTTAATTGGCTGTCCACTATAAATAATATCAGCTCGAATGTCTGAATCCACTGCATCAAACTAATCGTCCACTCACTCGCAGAAAAATTCTTTTTCTGATTTTATAAAAAAATAATAATTTAAAGTGCTCCTTATTTTGCATAATGTACAGTTGTACAGTCAGAATTATTAGCCCTCCTGTATATTTCCTCCCCAATTTCTGTTTGACAGAGAGATTTTTCAATCACATTTCTAAACATAATAGTGTCAATAACTAATTTCTAATGACAGATCTTTTTTTTTTTTTTTTTTTAACCACGTTGACAGTACATAATATTGGTAACACTTTAGTTTAGGTCACAATTCACGATATTAACTACAGGCTTATTACCTGCCTATTATTAAGATATTAACTGTTTTTAGAAGTTACAAAGCATGATCTTATTCTGTATCCCTAATTCTACCCAAAACTTAAACACAACTTCTTCCTTAATACTTAATAATAAACAGCTAATTAGTAGTTTATTAAGCTATTGAGTTAGTTAATAGTTTGTTTATAATGTGAATTGTGACCTAAGCTAAAGTGTAACCATAATACTTTACTAGATATTTTTCAAGATACTAGTATACAGCTTAAAGTGCAATTTAAAGACTTAACTAAGTAAATTAGGCAAGTTAGAGTAATTAGGCAAGTTATTGTATAACGATGGTTTGTTCTGTAGTCAATCGAAAAAAATGTTGCTTAATGAGGATAATATTTTTGACCTTAAAATGGTTTAAAAAAATAAAAACTGCTTTTATTTAAGCCGAAATAAAACAAGTAAGACTTTCTCCAGAAGAAAAAATATTATCGGAATTACTTTAAAAATTCCCTTGCTCTGTTAAACCTTGTTTGGGAAATATTTGAAAAAGAAAAAAAAAATTCACAGCTTTAACTGTTTATATATGTTTGTGATTGACAATGTAAAAGATCTGAACACTTTCAAAGGTCAAAGTGGCATGATAAATAGTGTTCTTACCTCCTAAAAGAAAGATGTGTTTTTGAACTTCCCGAAATGAGTCGTCAGTAATACCAAGCCTAACTTTTTACAAAACTTACACAACTTTCTAAATCTTCTATTAAGTTAATTGGCTGCCCACTATAAATAATATCAGCTCACATGTCATCTGAATCAACTGCTTCAAAGTAATTATCCACTTACCCACACCTATACTTTTTCATATATATATATATATATATATATATATATATATATATATATATATATATATATATATATATATATATATATATATAAAACAGGCATCCTAACCACCTGGTTGCCCTTTTACCTAGATTACCTTTGACCTAGGTTATCATTATTATATGTAATTGCTTGTTACCATTTATAAGTGTTGTATCAGTATATTCAACACAAGATGTGGGCCAAAAAATATTTTTAAGGAGTGCACCCTAAAGGATTAACAGCAGATTCAGTGATCTGTGTAGTGTACCTCTATGATAAATACTCTACTGCAAGTTACTTTTAAACAAACATTAATTCATGACAGTTTAGGCCAAATTTTCTTAATAAAATTAATAAACAGGCTCCATTACTTCCTTCAGACTTTAATGTAAATATTGCTGTTGACATCATTGAACACACAAACTTTAATCTGTATATTCAGCACAAACAAAGACTTTGTTAATCACCTTGCTAATACATTCCCACTCTGTACTTTTCTTGCCTACCTTCGTTGTTTTTAATCTTCCCTTTTTTATTTTCTCTTGGATCTGTTTCACCTCCATTTCTGCTTAAAGATGGCCATTTAAAAACAAAATAAGATAGTCTGTATATGTGCTTGTTTGCCAACCGAATCATTTCAAATACTTTAGTGTACAGAGCTATTGCTGAAATTTATTTTATTACAATAAAATTGTTTTTTGACATTGGATGGATTTAAAACTATTGTAGGAAACCTTCCAAAATATAATTAGGAACATTTTAAATTGGGGCAGTTTAAAAGTACATTGCATGTTGGCAATTTTATATATGTATATATATATATATGTGTGTGTGTGTATATATATATATATTTATATATATGCATACAATATTTGTGTCCTACAGGATGTTCAATCTAAACTCAGAGATGCTTGCAGAAAACTGGGTGATGAGTTCATGACATGTAAATTTGCAACGCAGGCCAAGGTTTGATTTAGTTTTACTTTATTTCCATGTATTGTATGTCGAATTGCCAAAAATAAATGGTATATATATTATAAATACATTTAAATGTCACCATCAACACCATTTATCTATTTAATGCAATATTGGGAAATCAATTGGACCTGAACACTGGTGTATGTTTTTTTTTTTTTATTATTGTTATAATTTTTTTTGTAGGATTATCTCCCAGCTGATATCCAGAGTCAGTTTTCCTCCAGCAGGCAGCTGATCAGAAATATCCATAGCAGTTTTCAGAAGTTACGGGACAGGGCAGAGAAAATGGCCGAGCGTTCGAAGGACAATGCCACAGATCTGCTGATGTTTGGGAAAGAGCTGAGGTACCAGATGATCCAGAGTGCTGCTCTGTCTGAAACTGATTATTTTACACTCTATGCAGTTTTAGCAAACTTACCACCTCATAATAAGTCACACATATATCTCATAAAGTTGAGCATGACATGCACCTCATGACACCATGAGCTACAGTATGGTGAAAATTGCACTATAAAAACCAAAACACTGTAAACAAATAGAGCAATGCAATCATGCTTTAGAAACAGATGATAAACCATGCACGCAAGACCTGCTGCCACAAAGATTTTTGGTAACACTTTATTTAAAGGGGTGTTCATAAGACTCATTAAACCTTTTTAAGGACATTACTCATGTCATTAATGTATATGATATTTATGCATACTTATAACAACTGTCATTATGTGTCATTTACTCAGGTATGACATTTTTAAATCCAAACATAACATATACACAACATCTTTGTGTATATATACACAACATCTTTGTCTTTGTCATGACAACTTGACATTGCCAAGACAACAAAACCTGTCATAAATCTGTCATAAACACGATTGTCATGAAGCCATTATAATATGTCATGAATTTTTTAACAGCCTCATTAAAATATATTACCTTAACTACAGTGGTACAAGTTGAAATTGTCATTAAAATTTCATTAAATATTAATAACATTGTTAAAAATGATTATTGAGTAATGAAACTTGTAATGAGACAATTTAATGACAAATACCATTTGTTCCACTGAAAATGTGATCATAAAAATATTCATGACAGTTATAATGGTTTCATGACAATTATGTTTATGTCAGATTTATGACAGGTTATGTTGTCTTTGTAATGTCAAGTTGTCATAACAATGTCATCTTGCATTTAAAATGACATAACCAAGCAAATGACACTTGATAACAGTTGTCATAAGCATGCATATAATAACATTCACCTCCATGACATGGTTATAAAGGTTTCATGTCAGTCTTATGAACACCCCTTCAAGTAAAGTGTTACTACATTTTCTTTCTAATCAGAATCTAAGTGTCAAAACTTTTATTTTTGTGTATTGTCTTTGGTGACAAGACTTTGACGATTATTGTTTAGCCTCTTCTACAGTATGGGCAAATTTCATTTAATTCTTGAATGTTTTATAAGGCAAAATTAAAGGTAAAACAGAGAAAGTATCTTGAATTAGTGTCACTTTTGGATAAAATTATCTTCCAAATGGACTACTTACTATATATATATATATATATATAATTAAATAAATGCAATATATAAATCAAATTGTGCATATATTTATATTATATTCTTATTCAGGCGTCACGGTGGCACAGCGGGTAGCACAATCACCTCACAGCAAGAAGGTCACTGGTTTGAGCCTTGGCTGGGTCAGTTGACATTTCTGTGTGGAGTTTGTATGTTCTCCCCATGTTCGCGTGGGTTTCCTCCGGGTGCTCCGATTTCCCCCACAGTTTAAACATATATGGTACAGGTGAATTGGGTAAGCTAAATTGTCCGTAGTGTATGTGTGTGATTGAGTGTGTATGGATGTTTCCCAGTGATGGGTTGTTGCTAGAAGTGCATCCGCTGCGTAAAACATATACTGGATAGGTTAGCGGTTCAGTCCGCTGTGGTGACCCCTGATTAATAAAGGGACTAAGAATGTATTTTCTTATTAATTTATAGATATTTATATAAATGATGTGCTTATTTTTATACTCTTATAGTAAAGTTTGATTTCTACTTAATTTTTTTTTTACATTTAAGACCTATAAATAAATAGTTATTAATATCATGATTTAAAATGACCCCTGCAGGGGGGTTAATTTTGTGACAGTAACTATTTGACTGCTCATTCTCTCCTACACACAACACTACATGTAACATTACACAACTGTAATCTTAATTGATGTGAGAGCTTGAATATCTGTCCTCTCTAGCTTTTTGGGGTCAGATGAGTCCCCTGTGCCCATCCTGGTGTCTGGCAGGAACCCCTGGTCTGCTCTCAGACACTCAGTCAAAGGCCTCTCTGTTGACTTTTCTGCACTGTCTGAAAAAGCTGCCCGACAGGTACTGTGACGCTCATACCGCAAGAACCGGTCGCATTCTGCTGCTTGGGAATCTCATTTTTGTTTATTTCATTCAGGGCAGAAGAGAGGAGGATGAGGTGGTGGAAAAACTGGATATGTTCCTGGACTTGCTGCAGTCGTACAGGGTGAGTATTGATGTGCTGTAATATTTCACCACAGCCATTACAAGACATTTTGCTTTGCAGGCTTGTAAATTTACTGGAAACCAAGTTTAATGTGAATTTTAGGGGTGTTAAAAGATTATGGTCAAAAGATTGAAATATTGAGGATATTTGAGGATGTTCCTTCTACACTGGATTTACAAGTTATTGTGGTTGAGTAAAACATCATTTTTGGTTTTCTTCTGTAAAGATTTGTTATTTGTCATTTACTACTGAATAGTCAGCATCATTACTTCAGTTCTTCTGAAACGGGCTGATTCAGTGCCTAAGAAACATTTAGTGTATTGTATAATATATATATATATAGATTGTCCTCATTTGTAAGTAACTTTGAATAAAAGCGTCTGCTAAATGACTAAATGTAAATATATATATATATATATATATATATATATATATATATATATATATATATATATATATATATATATATATATATATATATATATATATATATAATATACTGTAAGATTGAATAAATCTCAGATACTTCACGTCTGCATTCTTGGGGTGTCAAAATTAATAGTTTTTTTGGTGCACCGTGATGCCGACGCGGACAATTCTGTATTTTTTCAGTAATATTCATAACCGGTTATTATGTACTGATGCCATTTATCTCATATGCACAATGTCGCCGTAGCTTACAATGGCGAGGGAGGCGAGCGCGAGTATTTATAATGCTCTAACTTCTTAAAAACGCAGAAACTGTGCACAATTACACTGCGTATGTGTTTGCTAAACAGTCTTTCACTGACACTCAGAGCAGAGGCCCCTATTTCACTGCGATTGAGAAAATGAAAGTAAACTCCATTTCTTTTCCCATTGTGGCCGTTTGACCTGCTGGCATGACTTTTACTTTCCTCTTGGCTGTTACAGCGATACTTCTGGATCCAGACACTAGCGTGTGTCTGCAGAGTTTTCTCCACTGTGTCTATCATGAATCAGCTGTGATCGCCGCTGCCGTTTATCACTCATCTATGAAGAGCGCCAGCACAGGCAGGGCCAATCGCAGCCCTTTCGTTGAGCGCGTGACCAATCAAAGGGGTGTAAGACAGAACTTGGTAGACAAGGCTCAGAAAGCGAGCGGGATATTTATTTTTGTTTATTTGCTATAAATGCTCATGTAGTTTAAAGGTACAGTTTATAAATCTGACTGTTTGTATTAAAGGAGAAAATTGTATTACAAATAGTATATAAATATATTTACACATTTTAATTCAAGAATTACTATGATGTAAAGAAAATATAAAACTGTGTATGGAAAGCATCGTCAATGCACCGAGATATCGAATTGAACCTAATCGATGGCATGATAATCATAACCGAACCGAACCGTGAGACCAGTGTATGTTCACAACTCTACTGCATTCACATATGGATAATACAAACAGTGTATAAACATAGAAACATTTGCCTTCGCACCATATAGAGTGAGAATGCAGGAAAAGCTCATTCCTTCGTTTCTCTCGACTCTCCTTTCCCTTCATCCATCTCACAAAGAATGGTCATCTCAAAGTATGAATGTTCTATATCAATGCAAGTGACTTTATCTATCATGTTTGATATCATTTGAAATGTCTCAGTGGGACTGGTACAAGAGTCTCGTTCTCATAGAAATAAGCATAATCTAGGTAAAATTTTATAACTCCAGGTATCTATTGACCCACTGCTAAGGGTGTGTGTCCATCTAGGGGGCTTCTATTTAAATGACAATTTGTTCCCTATAGGCAGTAACTCCCAGATCTAACATACCACTTAATGCAAATGCCTATTGTAGTTTCACACACCCATCCTTGGAGAAGATTCTTTCTTGGTCTGATTATTTAAGCAAAGGTGTCAAGGAGTTTGACGTGATTCTGTAACCAGATTAGCCCATGGTATCGAACTCGCATGTTCCATACTATGTATAATTTGAAGTCAGGTATGCATATTTTGATCTTATTTGACATTTTGTATTTATTTGTATGTTTTTTTTGGACATAAAGCTACAAATATAAAACAAAACAAAAACACTGAACAAGGATGTATACAATTGATCCAAAATGAAAGTAAAGACTTTTATTATGTATTAATGTTTACCAGAAAAAAAAATGCATTAACATTTTCTGAAAATTAAGCTGTGACACATGACAGATATAAATACAGTATTAAAATATGTCAGTTGAAAAACAGTACTATTATTTACTACTATTTTACAATATTCCTGTTTAAATAAATGCAGCATTTGTGAGCAACAGAGACCTCTTTTGAAAAAAGAATAAAGAAATCATACCAAACTAACTAGTAGTTTTAACTAGTAGTTTTCCTAATTTTGGCATGCATTTCAAAACTAGCCAGTTTCTTCTACTAAGCTACATCAAAACAGGAGAACAGAAAATACTAAAGGTTGGATTCAAACCAATGTCGCTCAAATGCACACCGAAGTAAATGCAAATTTAAGTTTACCACTAGTGTGTGTTTTTCTAAGCATGCACTTGTGTTGTCTTTTAGGACTTGTGTGAACGGCATGAGAAAGGGGTTTTGCACGATCACCAGCGAGCGCTGCAGAAATATGGCATCATGAAGAGGCAAATTATGAGTGCCACCGTACAGCCTAAAGAACAGCTCTCTGTTGAACAGCTGGAGTCCCGCATCGTCCAGGTCAGACCACACACACACACAAACAGACTTGAACAGCTATCTTTTTAGAGACTTTCAATTGATGAGTTTTAGTCACACTTTACAATCAGGTTTCATTTACTAACATATAATTATGAGCAACACTTGTACAGCATTTATTATTCCTAATTTAACATTTACTAATGCATTATTATGATCTAAATTGCTTGTTAGGATTAGTGAATGTACCTCCAGTTAACGTGAACTAACAACCCAGCAAACTATTTTATATTTAATAGACGTCTAATAGACATTTAAATGTAGACAGCTTGGCTAAAACAAGTTTAAACTTGGGCTGTCAGTGAAAATCTAATAGACATCTAAAAGCAGCCCAAAACTAGACTAGTATAAACAGACAGATTAGACAGAGTTCATAGCTGTAGTCATCCCTTATGAAGCTAATACGGAACTGAAACTGCAATATATCGAAATTCCGCTAGTCCTGGTTCCATAATAGAGCAAATTTCTATTGAGCCCACTGTTAAAATGGCCAACGTTACAGCAGAAAAAAAAAAGGTGTTTACAGCCTGGTGCAAAGAACGATTTTGGTTCATATAGCTAATGTTACCCTTCATGACAACTGTTAAGGGGGTGAGTTTTGTAATAAATCATCAGTTTCCTTTATATTAGGTTGTATTAAATCTGCATAATAAAGGGCGTGGCCACTTGAGTGACAGCTAGGTCTTGCTGGTGGCCGTCACTTTACCTCAGCTGATTTTGGCTGATTAGCCGCTAAACTCGGCATATACGTACATCGTATTTTTGTGTTGTTTTATTTAGCGACACAGTCAGTTGCTTTTTGGAATTTTATCCTACCATTATCAGATGATATGGCATGCTGTGTGCACTTAATTGTGTTCACAAACCATTCATGTGGCCTTCATTTCCCAGGTGAGTGAAATTATATACTTATGCCATCTTTATAAATGTATTAGTTTTATTTAAGATCATTAATGATTTAACATTTTCTTTAGACCTGTAATGCACTCCAGAATCTGACAGACTGATTAGCTGTAGTCTTTAGAACAGTCATCCAAACTGTCATACTGACAACGAACCCGGCCCCCAAGGCAATTTGTTCCGGCCCTACAAATAGTGTGACCAAGACATCAAAAATAAATTTAGTTGAAAAACAGCCGCTATAATTATGAAGTGATGTGTGTCTGTTCAATACAGCAGGAGCTGCAGTTTGGGCTGCAAAGAGCGTGACGTGACGTGGGCAGCCGAAAACATTTGGATGTGTTTATAGAAAAGGCCTTTTGTACTATGCATTGATATCATCAATAAAGATGCAACGATTAGCCGATTTCACTATTTACTGCCCTTTAATTTGTCACAGTTAATTAATCGTAAAGACTTCTAAGCCACATTTCTGTTGCACGGAACAAAATGAAACTGCTGTAATTAAACAAAGTTATGCCAAGTTGCCAGCTGTGCGCTAGTTTAAAGTTCCTAGTATGTACACCGAGGCTAATAAGCACACACACCGGATTAACTATAGCAGCGGCCATTCCCATATCACGTCTTTCACGTTAGCAAGTTTGTTATTTCTAATGTAAAAAAATATGACAATTTGCAGGCGCAAGCGGAGCAATGGGCTTGTGTCTTTCCGGGGCATGCAGTAGAAAACATCTTTCGGTGAGAGTTGTGCGTGCCTTTCAATGCAATATAAACAAAAGTTAGACGAACTATTATTAAAATGATTATGTAGATGGCAACAAGAGTTCATCTAAATAGTTACTTACCCAATATGAAGCTTGAATTTACATTAGACGTGATAACCCTGAAACCATGATTATTCTTCAGACTATATAATCGTACAACCAAAATCTATAATTGTTGCATCCCTAATTGTTATGCAGTTCAAAACATAACATATGAATGTTTCTAAATGTAGAAGAAGTCTACTTCAGCAATGCACTGCTTTTGTTGCTCTGAAATACAGCATTTGAATGTTTGTAAAAAAAAAAGTCTATTGTACAAATACTACATTCATATATTTTGAAGTCTATGGTTTTTACCCATGGTTAAGCCTCCTTTCCACTGCACACGACAAACGACAGACCGGAAGTCATTAATTTCCCATGGAAAGTAGTCCGAGAGCTGCGTGGAGTTCCGATAATCTTCGTATGTGGAAAGTTCGGATCCGAATTGAGCTGCCTATCAGTTGAAATATTTGAATTCCTGGGACTAGACCGTATGCAACTGGCCGTCCGGATGTGATGTATTCCAGTGTTGTCGAAGAAGGTCCGTGTGCACGAGATGAAAAAATTTTTTTTTTTTGGTTATTTTTTTTAATCAGACAAAGACTACATAAAAAATTAAACAATTTCTATTCATAAATGTATGTAATAAAGTAATAAAAATATTTTTTTATGTTGCTTCCAATATTTTTTAGTGGTCTATGAGTTCTAGTATTTATTCATTAATTTAATCATAGTGTAAAGCTCTTGCTTTTGCACTTCTTTTTTTCGGACACTTCGGGAACAGCTTCTCTCCCATTGCGCACGTCAGAACTGAAAATTCTGTGTGACTACCACAAGGGGGTATTCCGACAGTCCTGTCCAAATGTTGTGTGCAGTGGAAAGGCGGCTTTAGATGTCTATTAGATTTTCAATGACAGCCTAAATTTAGCCTTGTTTTAGCCAAGACGACTATGTTTATGTCTATTAGACATCTATTAAAAACAAAAAAATGCTTGCTGGAAATGAACAATTATTTTCATTAACTACCATAGTCAAAAATACTGTAGTAAATGCATTATACAGTGTTTGTTCATGTTAGTGAACACATTAACTAACATGAATTCATACAACAATATTGTATATTCTATCCTGCTAAAACCAACTCTCATAAGTAGCATTGTGCATTTTTAGTTTAAAAATACATCTTTATGTGTGATTTGTGAGCCATTTTCCTTATGGGGACCACGACAGTGTCCCCATAAGGTCAAAATTGACTGGTATTGCTATACCTGAGGGAACATTTGGTCCCAACATTGTAAAATGTGAGGTACACATTAAACACTCGCTCATACACACACAGAGAGACAGCTGCTGGTGAGGTAAAATATCCTGAAGGGGAAATGTAGCGACCAGTAGCTTGAGAGTCACTGATTCATCCTTCAATTTAGTAGCTGAAATTGATCTTAAGCTCTTGAAACCAAAGCCCTTGAGCAAGATTTGTCTCTCCAAAGCCCCCTCGGGCAGCTGCAGGCATCTGAATAAAGATCTTTGGCTCTTTGGAGAGACTTGTTTCCTTGATATGTAGTGCAGTGGTTCCGAGCACAGAAGCTGATATGCTTTAAGGTCAAATAAAGATGTATTAAATATTCCACTAATAATCTTATATAAATATTTTTCAATCATATGGTTACAATGCCAAGAAAATGCAATTATATCAAATAAAAAAAATAAGCAAGGGTGGCATGGTGGTGAAGTGAGTAGCACTGTCACCTCACGGCAAGAAAGTTGCTGGTTCGATAGTAGTCTGCCAGAGCTCCAGACCGCAACATTTTTTTTTTTTGAGGTGTCACTGCCAAACACATAAGGTTTAGCAATCTGTTTTGCAAGATGAATACACGTTAAACACCAAAAGCTAAGCTCAAAAGAAAAGATTGTGAGAGAAAGCGAGATCTAGGGAGTTCTCCAGTACAAATCACTTAGGTATGCAATTTAAACTAGTTTAAAAAAATTTCATCAGAGATTGAACATTCTCTCAACAACTGCATTTGTACTTAAACTGAATGTCTTCAGGTTAGGGCTGCACCATATATGATTTCAGTGTTGATATCGCAATGTGTACATCCACAATAGTCAAATCGCAAGATCTGCAATGTTGAATCTGGATTACAGTAGACAAGGAGCTATAGAATTGTATTTAATTACTGTATTTATATGGAATTCATATGATTTTTGCCATAAACAAAAGTACTTAAAATTTTTGTTTTGTTTCTAGTCCAAATATCTACATTTTAAAGCGAAAGCAAGATTATTTCCATTCCCCCATAGGAAGATAATTCTGCTTGCGTTAAGGAAAAAACTCTTAATTTTGCCTTATTTTTTCTGAAGTTTAAAACAAAACAATATTTTTACTTAATCTAAGATTTTTTGTTATTTGGACTAATCAAAGTAAAAATAGCATTGTTTTTGTAATTATTTAATTTTTGTATCTGAATACTGTTAGACTCCCTTTAAAAAAAAGTGTTATATACTGGTATTAAACCTTAAAATAAATAAATAAAATAAAATAAATGAATAAAATAAATAAAATCTTGTAAAACTGTATTCACATCACAATATTTTTTGCAGAAAAATTAAATATCACAATATCAGTTTTTTCCAACATCGTGCAGGCCTACTTCATGTCACTGTTTTCAAGTAAAATATTACAGAAACAGTTAGTAAGGGTAAAACAGATCACGATTGATTCGTGATTTGTACGAATTACAACCCATGAAACACACGTGACCTGCGGATTAATACATTGTTTTTACTTGCAGATTAATCATTAATTTGTAATGATGACAGAGAGATCGCCTCTTATGTCATTCAAATCACATGCATGAAAGGATTTAATAAATATGGGTTGTATAAATTAAAATGTTAGATTTAATGTTATCAGCAACAGCAGTAGCAACAGTGAATTTTTAACAGTACTGAATATTTTACTATTTATTTTTATTCAGCTGATTATTTTTTCATTTTATTTTTTATAAAATTACAGGTTCTAAGTTCTGTTCGTTAAAAAAATAGTTTCTTGCAGAGCTGATTTTGTTATAAATGGAAAGCAAATTACATTTGTCTCTATCCCTTTTTGGCTGATCCAAAAAATGGTCCGATCTGTGACTAAAGAACCATAATGTGATCCGAAACCATGAGATTTGTGATCCATTACACCACTAATAGTTAGGCTACTTTTTACCATAATGGTGCTGTACCTGTGGTTATGATCTACAAATGTATGAAAGAGTATATATATACTGTAAAATGTGAATTTTTAAAATGTGTGTGCGTGTGTGTGTATGTATTAGTAGCATTTTTTTTTTAATTGAGCAAAGAAAGTACTCATTAAGGTTATTAAAAGTAACCATAGATGCAATTATAATGTTAAAGCAGATTTAAGTTTCACATAAATGTTGTTCTGTTCATCAAATGACCCACAAAACAATACTATTTTCAACAAGAGTAATAATCAGAAACTGTTATTAAACAGCAAATCTGCATATTATAATGATTTATAAAGATCATGTGACACTAACGCAAAAAATAAATAAATAAATAATGACCTTGTAAAATGTATCAAAATAAAAAGCTGTTATTTCAACATGGAAAGATACTGCACGACATTAATATTTTATTGTATTTCTGATCAAAATGCATTCTAGTTTATCAAAAGCATCGTCTCTGAAAAAACACATGGTATTGACTACAGATCATAACAGAGATCATATAGATGATATAACAACATCATCATTAGTTGACAATTTGTCAGTTATGATAGCATTTCATTTATCTTATTTGAAAAATATAGTTTAAACATCGGATGAAGTATAAATCAATTTTAATATATATATATTTTTTAATGAAGTCAACTCATTCTGTGACTGAATATGAACTTTTTGGGAACACTTCTGTTCACATAAATTATTTTAAATTAGGAGTTGTGTAAATTAAAGAGATCAACTGTTAGTGTAACTATTAGACAATGTAATTTCATTGCACGATTAACACAAAGTATTTTAATCAGCCACCAATTAAGTCTTTGCAACAAATATTATTATGTCTATAAATTTGGCTTATTGAATACATTTGCATTTAAAATGATCGCTCACCCCAAAACTCAACAGCCTACATTGTTTCAACTCTGAGCAAATTTCTTTCTGCTACAAAGCACAAAAAAAAGATATTTTGAAGAATGTGGGTAACTAAATGTTTGGTTCCTAATGACTTTTTCATACTATAGGGCATTGGGGACCAGCAATTGTTTGGTTTTCCACATTTGTCAAATTATCAAAATGTGAGCTATGAACTGAATTATTTTACTTTTATAGAGGCCCTCATCTTTTTCATGCTTAAAGCCTGACCAGATGGAGAATATGAGAGAAAAAAAGAAGGACTCCCTTGTGCTTGAGTGATTTTAATGCCAGGCAAAATCATGTGAGCCACGCAGCACAGTTTCTATTTAACCTTTCATAGCGTGACATGATTCAGTGTTTTTAACCAGCAGGGTGGCTCATAATGAGCGAGTAACAGAGATGATGATGATAATGATGATAACTGTAATGTGACCTCTCATCGATTTCTGACTCACGACAGCAAGAAAACGCTATTCAGGCCATGGAGTTACGCAACTACTTCTCCCTGTTCTGCCTGCACCAGGAGAGCCAGCTGATCTTCACATACCTGCCCATTACATCACACATCCTCGCATCATTTGTGGACTCACAAGTGCAGGGACACAAAGAGGTCAGCTTATTTACTATTTGTGTGTTTTATGAACACATCTTTTTTTGGAAAATACTTATTTTACAGTTGTCCTAAAGTTAAACAGTTGAGATTTACCACTATTGAATGCTTTCAGCCCATTTGGTTGGAGCAGTTTTAACTTAGCTTAGCATAGATAATTGAATCAGATTAGACCGTTGGCGTGTCACTCAGAGCTGGACTCTTCTCTAGTTACATTGTGTACTAGGGCAGACAGAAAATTAAAAGTTGCTATTTTCTAAGTCGATATGGATAGGAACTATACTCTCATTCTGGCAAAATTATTTAAAGTTTTGTAATATCATTGAAAAGGTTCTCGATTATTACACAATGAGAAAATAGTTCCTAGAAGCCGTACAACCAATAAAATAGTAACTTTTTGCAACTTAGTACACAATATAACTATAGAAGTATATTTTTAAATAGGAAAATTAGCAAAAATCTGTTCATTTTTGAGCGAGATGCTAACGGTCTAATCTGATTCAATAGTTTATGCTAAGCTAAGCTAAAAGTTCTTCCGCCAGATTCAGGAGATAGGCTGAATAGATTTTAAAATGGTAAAAAGTCAGTAGTAGATTATAAATATTGCACATCCGATCATAATGAATGTCTAATTATTGTTGATTTGGCTCTGGATCTAGATGGGTGAGGTGTGGCAAGATCTGCATTCCAAGCTGAAAAGTCTTTTTGGGGATGGTAATGGACGCTCTCCGCCTCTCAGCCCAAAATAAACTCTGCCTTCAGAATTGAAAGAAGACAAAGAACTCTGGCCTGTTTTCAATAGAGAACTAGTACAGTTAAAATTAATTAAAAGCACTGCCATTCTTGAAAAGAAAATTGGGATAAGAATTATGGAGAAAACCTGACAGAGGTTGAACTTAGCAAACTGACATCTAAAATAAATACAAAGGTGGCCAAAATTATTAGAACTCCTGACAGAATCTGAAAATGAAGACCTTTTTTTTGTCTCCAAAACCTGATTTCATTTCATAATGTTGACGAAATGTGCAGGTGGTTGTTCTGAGGACAACAGATATCAGATGAAGTATCATTTTTATCCACTTTTAACTGTAATATGTAAATATGTTTTGCAGCAATTATAGCGGCACATCTCCTGGCATAGTTTCAGTATATTCAACACTAATGCTGTCCAATGCCTTATGCAAATCAAGTTCGACACTTTCCTTTGAATGTACAATAGATCTGTCCTGTTTATCCTCCTATGGCAAAATTTGCTTAATTGGGTTGAGGTCCAGACTTGAGGTGGGCCAGTTCATCATTTTCAATGCTTCAGCAGAATGTTTTTCAGTCATTTTATAGGTATTGTAGTGATCGGTTTAACAGTTTTTTTTCCACCATTGAAGCTATTATTATTAATTTTAGAAAGACACTGTATTAATGTTTTTAGTCTACATGTGTGCAAAGCTGATGAGATGTGGTTTTGAAGCTTAATCTAAATAGGAGGAAACAAACGTTTATCACTTCTCTATCTTAGATGCAAAATAAAGTGAGCTGACAGGCTAATAGTTAGTCTAATAGTGTTTTGTAGTGTTCTGTTTAGTATACATGAAAAATATAGAAAATGCCTATAGATTGTGTTATTGGTTGTAAATGCACTGTATTAGTTTTTAGGTTGGGGATTTAACTGATGTCAAGATGTTTCTACAAGTCTGATATATGTTGTGTGTTTGATTTGCAGCTTTGTTTTGGTTTCACATTTCACTTTCATCCTAATGTGTCAAAGAAATCCATACTTTCTTTCATTTACGTTTCAACACGGATGAAAAAAGTGACGGTAATTTGTAACAAAAATGTGCATTTCAAACATTTTTGCATCTTAGAATGTGTCAACAAAAAAGCAGCACATTTAAATGAAATAGAAAGGCTTTATTAAATTGTAACACTATTGGTTAACATCAGATTAAAAGTGAACATTTTGAATGTGTATTTTATGTGAGAAATAAAAAGCTAAATCAATTTTTCAGGTGTCAAGTCCAGTTCCCGGAGGGCCGCAGCTCTGCAGTTTAGTTCCAACCCTGATTCAACACGCTTACCTGTAGGTTTCAAACAAGCCTGAAGGACCTAATTAGTTTAATCAGATATGTTTCATTAGGGTTGGAACTAAACTGTGCAGAGCTGTGGCCCTCCAGGAACTGGATTTGACACTTAGCTAAGACCGATTCTGGATTCAGAGGATCTTTAGGCTTTTTAAGTAAATCAATATAACTACAACGAACCAAAATATTCATTGCCACAGTACTGACTTCTATTAGCTGCTCTAAAAAACACAATTAAATAACTCAAAATAATCTTCCATGTTAATTTATTTGACAAGTAACTTTGTATAGGATAACACATTTCAAAAATCGGAGTTAGTCATTTCGTCACCTTAGAATTATAAGGTTATAGCTGACATTTTTGTCAAAATTGGGTTATTGACATATTCTTATTAAATGACAACTTATTTACATTATGGGGTGTTTTTTTTTTATAAGTTGTTTAAATTTTAAGATGTTTTATTTTAAAAACAAATATTATACACATACTGTTTACTATGGAATGCAAAAACTTTAAAGCTCAATTTTCTCAAAATCATTCAGAACGCAGACAGAACCTTATAATATTAAGGTGACGATGGTTTAATTGTATATACAGTATATCACAATATTTATTGCAGAAAAACAAAATACTAAAATGTCTGATTTTTCCAATAACAGGCAGCCCTACAAAAACAATTTTTCTCTCAATATTTTTTTATTTTTTGTAACTTAGGTGTGAACAAAGATGCACATAAAAAATAGACCATACTACTGAATGAAGTTACTTTTTGTCTGGATTTTCTGATGTTTTATTTAGTAAATGACATGTAGTTGACGATGCAATTTCTTTTTTTGTTATTTAGTACACTACTAATTGTAGAAAAGACAAAGAATTAAGTAAAACCAAACCGTATCAGAATACAGATTCTTGAATGTGTGGATTTCAATGGAAACTTCTCACATCAAAAGAATGTGCTAATACAAAATACAGCACTGGATATCAGGCAAATATTGGCCATATTACATATTTGGCCATATCCATGAAACATACTCAGTAGTGTGAACATCAGATCTTGCTGGATAATTTCCACTGATACAGTGGTAACATCCATCAAAAACGGTATTAAAGCAAATGTTCATCCAAAAAATTAGCATTTTGTCATAATTTACTCTCCCTACACGTATTCCATTGAACTTTCTTCTGTTGACTACAAAAGAAGATATTTTGAAGAATGCTGACTTCTATAGTATTTTTCTCCTTACCATGGAGGTCAATGGTTACCGGTCTCCAACATTGTTCTGAATATCTTTTTTTTTTAATTCTACAGAATAAAAATAACTTTATTTGGACTTACTTGATATTGAGTAAATGATGAAACAATGTTCATTTTTAAGTGAACTGTCTCTTTAAAACCCCACTCAAAGGTCCTCCACCTCGTCCAGTTTATGCTCCACTATTACATCATGACCCTGGAACTTAAAATACCCCAAAAACCTCTTTTTCTGAAGCATCAGAGGAAACCACAAGATGTCATCGGCCCACATCTGGCTGAAAGGGATTTTATCAATGTCGAACCACTGCGGCCTCATCTCTAAAAGACAAAACAAACCATCATTAGACCTTTAGCCTCATCAAATGTCTAAAAAAAAAAAAAAGCAGACAATAGAGCTGTTTTACCGTCTGATTCGGCTGGCTCTCCTTCATAGTTGTCAGCTCTAAAAATGTGAACATCCATTAGTTCGGTTTCCCCAATAAACTCAAATTTGATGTTTCCAATCTTGTGGAGGGTGTCGACAGTGAGGCCACTTTCCTCCAGCAGCTCCCTGTCAAATAAAAAAAGACCATTTTGTTTCAGTTGGGAAACCAATAAAAGCGGGAAGATTGACCATGACCGATCACTGACACCGTTGTTAAGTTCAAGACAAGTAAATAACATTAAACTTTATCGGTACTACAAGGTTCAATCCTTTTACCTTTGATCTGTAGCTCTGAGGGAGTGAAAACAGACACTAATTGATACACCTAAACATGAAATCCCTAAAGAGGTTAATGAAGAAGACAAATCTTAACTGTATTTTTACATAAATTAAAATGCTTTAATGGGTGGCACAGTGGCTTACTGGTTAGCACTGTCGCCTCACCGCAATAAGGTCACTGATTCGAGTCCCACTGGGTCAGCTGGCATTTCTGTGTGGAGTTTGCATGTTCTCCCTGTTTTTACGTGGGTTTCCTCCGGGTGCTCCGGTTTCTCCCACAGTCCAATGACATGCGGTATAGGTGAATTGATTAAACTGTAGTGTATGTGTGTGAACGCAAGAGTGATAGGGTGTTTCCCAGTGCTGGGCTGTGGCTGGAAGGGCATCTGCTGCGCAAAACATTACGCAGGATAAGATCTGAATGAATATACTTTCATGCAAAAAAAAAAACTGCTGTTGTGATTTGGTATTGTAATGAAGGCTGCATGATTCTTGGAAAATATGCAATAATGTTGTTGAGTATTGTTATAATGATATAACTACTTTTAAAAAGCTTTATTTTATCAGCAATTTAAAACACCACAAAAAAGTAAAAACCTTGGCTGAAATTCTGATTCTTATGGCTTTTGTCATTTTTCTCTTGTCTTCCGGCATTAGTTTAGTAATGGCCACATATGATTGATCAGATTTAGATAAACAACCTAAGCATGCAGCACTCAAATGCTTGGCACACTAAAATGTATAAAAATCATTGCACTTCTCTGCGATATCGATATTGCATATACTAGTATTGAGGTGATTTTTTATATACAGTTGAGGTCAGAATTATTAGCCTCCCTTTGAATTTGTTTTACATTTTTAAATATTCCCCAAATTATGTTAACAGAGCAAGGAAATTTTCACAGTAGTTCCTATAATATTTTTTCTTCTGCAGAAAGTCTTAATTGTTTTATTTTGGCTAGAATAAAAGAAGTTTTTACTTTTTTAAAAAACATTTTAAGGTCAAAATTATTAGCCCCTTTAATACATTTTAAGGTCAAAATTATTAGCCCCTTTAAGCTATATTTTGTTTCGATAGTCTACAGAACAAACCATCGTTATACAATAACTTGCCTAATTACCCAAACCTGCCTTATAAACCCAGTTAAGCCTTTAAATGTCACTTTAAGCTGTATAGACGTGTCTTGAAAAATATCTAGTAAAATATTATTTACCGTCATCATGGCAAAGATAAAATAAATCAGTTATTAGAAATTAGTTATTATAACTATTATGTTTAGAAATGTGTTGAAGAAATCTTCTCTCCGTTAAGCAGAAATTGGGAAAAAAATAAACAAGGGGGCTAATAATTCTGACTTCAACTGTATATTGTGCTGCCCTAGTTGTAATTATGTTATTATAATAATTATATTAACAAAGGGTTACCAGAGATGTTCCTTTTCCAGCGACAGTCCCTAGAAATGTCCTGGTTTTACAGTATGTTCAAAACATGCTGCAAACGCACAGCAAAACTAGTCTGATAAACATCATTTTCAAATGCACAATAAAGGAATTACTGTACAGTTTCATCACCATTTGTAAAAACTAAAATATAATACACTCTATAAGAAAATTCTTAGAAAATGTATTGTTAGATATTTTTTGTTCTGAGTTTTTGTAATGTTTTATCCTGTAAACATAATTATAATTGTTCATTATTAATAGGGCTGCACAATATATCGTTTCAGTATCGATATCGCAATGTACATAACCACACATACCACAATGTACATAGTCACATCGTAGCATGTGCAATTTCCAGTCATGATTATAGTTGATCAGGTACAATAGTTCATCATAGCAACGTTTATCCACAATCTAGTGAAAGTTTATCGTTTGCAAGTTTTTAAAACTTTGATTATTTTTAAGCATTTCAAGAAAGCAGAAAAGATCAAGAAATTATAACGTTTGAAGCTTTAGATTACGAAGCTTATTTATATTTAATTATTAATATGATGAAGACCATACAGTGATATTTTCCATTTAATTATTCAAGTTCTGTGCCTGAATACTATATCAAGAAAATCATAAAAGCACTGTTTATTTTATTTTAATCTGTATTCTAATATATATATATGCAAAATATATTGCATATGTTATTATTATACCGTTAGTTATAGTAGAATATAGACCCCAAATCAATAAAAAAAAATTTATTCAAAAACTTTATCTTACATCTTATATAAACCTTAAAAATCATTACTTGAAATGAAAAAGATTACGTACTGATATAAAACAATATAAATATTTCATCGTAAAGAAAATTCTGAATATTAAAAACTATTGCAATATATCAGAGATAACAACGTAGCACTGGCAGAACCCAAAACCACGAAAAAAGTAAGAATTGTATAATAAAGGAAGATATATTCAAAATAATTACTTGAAATAAAAGGTCAACTGACATAAAATAAAACATAAAATGGCTTTACTTCAGCTGGTAGAAAATTCAAAATATTAATAAAACCACAACAATATGTGTTAATTAATACAAAATTTCCTCAACGTAAACTCAAATGTGGAGATGTTGCAAACACACACACACACACACACACACACACACGCACACACACACACACAGTGCCACTGGGGTGGTTTGTTCTAACCGTCTGGCCGCTTGCTCTATGGTCTCTCCAGTCTGGACTTTTCCTCCAAAGCCGTTCCATTTTCCAGCTCCAAAGCCTCTTTTCTTCATGCCCAGCAACACCCGGCCGGGCTGGACCACCAGCACCAGGGTCAGCAGCTTAGACGTGAACATAATCCTATAAATACAACACAATTCCCCCAAAATTCAGCAAACTGTCTGAAAGTCACTGATGTTTATCTAAATGCGTATAACATCACTCTTTACGACAGCTTTATAACAACTTTGTAATATAAAGTCTTTGAAATGTGGACGACTCTGTTGAATTATACAAAGTTTTGACTTGTATTTACACTACAGTTGAAGCATTCACATCACAAACAACAGAAGACAACAATTAATTGATTAGATAATTGATAACAGTATAGGGTTAAGCAAGTACAGTGACTTAATACGATTCATTTAAATAGTCCTGTCAAGGTTTTTTCACGGTTACTTCTTATCCAAATAATATCCTTACTTTGTCCAAAGAAGCCTATGGAGACAGAACGTAATAACTTGTACAAAAACAGAATGAATGTTTGTGTATGTTATGAATTTGAGTCGAAGTATACTGATGAATCTCTCGCTTGTTCCCGCGTGTTGTTCAGTGTCACGTGGAGGATTCAGATTCACAACAGTCGATATTGAAATAATAGTGATTGGCGTCCATGTTTTAGATTGGTACGTGTGGTACGTACAAATATGGTTTGTAGATCTGCGAAACAAGTAAACTCCACCTACCTAAGGTTTGTAATTGAGCGTGCAACAGTGAAATGTTCTCGATTGGAAATCTGAGTTGGCTCTGTGACTCGGTTCTTTTGAACAGAACGAGGCGAGTTAAAATAATTGAAAACGTTATGTTTACTTTACACAATCATATACATGTTTTTACAGAACAGTAAACATTGTAAGCACTATTTATTTGCGATAATTGTAACATGCGTCCACATTCCGTTCAATGCGGTTCATTAAAAAGATCCGACTCAAATGAACAATTCTTTCAGTAATCGGATGTCAAAGCGTGCAACAGTCAAACATTTCCGACAGAAACAGAACAGGATCAGTTTGTTTTATAGCATTTGTTTGGGTAGGATTTTTTTTTGTAAAAAAAGTCACTAATAAATAACATAGCTTTAATAATGGCTAATGAAATTATCTGATTGATGTAAGCTTACTTTTTAACAAACTTATCTTCAAATTAAAAAGTATTTCCTTTGTAAACAGAGATCCACCGCTTTTCCACATATGTGTAAATAGCAAACGCACAAAGTAATGTTCAAATTAATGTTTCTTTAAAATTTTTCAACGACTTTTAAGCCGTTTAACATAAAACGTTAATATCTAAAGTAAGGTATTAACCTTAGTATGTTCAACCTCAGATGTTGGATGACTCTGCGCATAGTGTACGCATCGTTGACGCGCTGACACCATAGTCGCCCACGTGCTTCCTTGTTTTCATGCACTTAATTTCTACATGTGATGTCGTCTCTAGGTCACTTAGTTCTTTATTAATAATGTGGAAACGCATACAGAGGTCGTGTATTCACATGTCAGCGGTGTGTCTGAAGAAGACTCCTCTGCATCTAAAGGGCAAGAGTACTGCTGATAAAAGGTGGTTGATTCGGCAGCTCAGTGACCCGTTCGTTAAAGCTGCTCACGAGCAGAATTACCGCTGTCGAAGCGCCTTCAAACTGATCGAGATGGACGACAAATACCGACTTCTCAAACCGGGTTTTACTGTCATTGACTGCGGTGCTGCACCCGGTGCGTGGAGTCAAGTTGCAGTGCAAAGAGTCAATTCAACTGGAGAGAGTAAGTAATAATGGTAAATTATGAAGGATAATGTAAAAACCATGTCATGTCACGTCAATACATGTACTGCTGTTATAAATCATTTTTTAATGTTTTTATTTGTAGAAGTAAATGCTTTTGTTTATTCATCCATTTTCTTTTTGGCATAGTCCCTTTATTAATCAGGGGTCGCCACAGCGGAATGAACGACCAACTTATCCAGCATACGTTTTACACAGTGGATGCCCTTCCAGCCGCAACCCAGTACTGGGAAACACCCACACGCTCTCATTCACGAGCATAAACTACAGACAATGTTTAGCTTACCCAATTCAACTATACCACATCTTTGGACTTGTGGAGGAAACCAGAGAAAACCCACGCGAACACGGGGAGAACATGCAAACTCCTCAAAGAAATGCCAACTGACCCAGCCAAGGCTTAAACCAGTGACCTTCTTGTTGTGAGGCGAAAGCGATACCCTTTGTGCCACCATTTAAAAAAAAAAAAATAATTTATTACTGCTTTTATCAAGGAAGGGCATACTATTTTGATTAAAAAAGTGACTTTAGAAACTCAAATCAAAACCAAATCAAAATACTATTCTTTTGAAGTTTATACATATCAAATAGCCACAACTTTCCAGTTTCTGTGGATTTATGATTTGTAGTTACATACTGCAGTAAACTGAAGATATTATATTAAGTTTTTCTTAATTTAAAATAAAAATATTGTCATAAAGAGTATTTTGTCATAAAATAATAAAAAAAAGTTGACAGACAGCAAATAAAATTGAATAATTAACATTTTACAAATATTTAAAATGACATTTAACCTGCTGATGGCAAAAAAATAAAAAATAAAATCATGCCTTTCATCATATTTTCAGGCTGCAAAATAAAAAAAATTCAGAACAACTGTTTAAAGCTTAAATGTTGTTTATAGAACCATTTCATGGCCAAAACAAAATCTTAGAATTGTCATTTTGAGGACATTCCCTAAACATAGACATCTATTCTGCATCCATTCTGAGATTTTCAAAATGCATCTGTGTTCTTTCTTGAATGATTCTGAGCTCAGCAGGTGGCGGTGTATGCTTTACAAGCAGTCATACTTTATTTGGGTTCAGTTCCTTACAAAAAAACCACTTGAACCTAAAACAATTCTAATAAAGTTAAGAAAGATTTAAGCTAATACCTAAATAAAGTCAGCTTTTTTGACGCAGCTGAATGCATTTCGGTGTACATGTAACCCCAGCAATCCTACACCATCCAACCTGCTTCAAGCAGTAAACGATCCGGCAACCTTTCACATGGGAGTCGATTGTTCTACCAAGGAGGCTAAAGACCTCTAAAGCCTCTAGGGGAACATTTAGAGGTCAAAGCAGTGAGGCTTACCTGCTCAGCACTTTACCAGCTGGCATCTGCTACATGCAATTGAAAAGTATTCTTACAGTATACTGTATGTTAGTTATGCATTGTTTTTTGTTTTTTTTAAATAGCTCTTATGTCCAGTGTTGTGTTTGTATTTGATATATTTATGTAGCACTGTTGTCTTGTGAGACACGGCAATTCATTCCTTTGTATGTCCAAACATGTAGCGGAATGACAATAAAAATGACCTTGACTATTCTAAGGAGACATCAGCTGATAAAAACTTGAATCCAGAGAGATTAGAATTTGTTTTTGAAGGTTCCATAATCGATTCAGAATCATTTTCTCGAACAATTTTTCACAATGGCTCTACTAAACAAACCTTTGTTTATTCTAGGCGTGGATCTTCCCAAAGGCAGCGTAATCGGAATAGACATACTACACATTTTCCCGCTGGACGGAGCTCAGTTTCTGACCAATCATGACATCACTTCTCCTTCAACTCACACGGCGCTGGAGAGACTCCTGCCTGAAGCTGGAGCAGACGTCATCCTCAGTGACATGGCCCCCAATGCCAGCGGCTTCCGGGAGCTGGATCACGAAAGACTGGTCTCCATGTGTCTGTCAATGCTGGACTTAGCTGACAAGGTGTTGCGGCCTGGAGGCTCTTTAATTTGTAAATACTGGGATGGAGGTCTGGCTCATATGCTCCAGCAGAGACTTTTCTCTGCATTTCAAGATGTGAGAACTGTGAAACCCAGAGCAAGCAGGAAGGAGTCAGCAGAGCTGTTCTTTCTGGCCCGCATGTTAAAAAAAAGATAGAATTAATTTTTAAGGCAATTTAAAATATGAAATATGAATAAATAATTGTATATTAAAGGGATGGTCAGTTAGTTATTTTTAAAGGCTTGATTGTTTTTCAGATATGTGCTAATGTTTTTCAAATTTTTTTCAATTTTATTCTACTACTGCTTTTTCGTTCTCCTAAAAATGGTCTGTTGACCTCTCTGCAGTGATTGCTTCATGAAGCTTTGAAACCTTTATGAATCCTTTGTTTCAAATCAGTTGTCAGAGCGCATATCAAATTGTCAGCATCACATGATTTCATTCAACAGGGCTTTTTTAAGGGCGTACTCACACTATGTACAGTTGTCTTGAACTGGGCCAAAGCACGCTTATCCCCCCTCCCGTCTCCCCCGACGGCCCGCACTCACATTACATTCGGGCCTGGGCAAGCTTACATCATCGATGATGCACTGTTCAGTAAGCGCTCTCGCTCGGCACAGTGGAGATTTCTTTAGTTATATCGCTTTAGTTGTTTGATATGCAGTGACACGCTGTCAAATATTTCGCCGAACAGATCCGCCACTTTTGACGCTCATAAACAATCATTGAGTCCTCGTGCTGCAGGAATTAGGAGGTTTGCTGAAGTGGCAGCTGTCGTGCAGTAAGGGGGTTTGCGTCTTTAATAAACTACGACAGTTTGCGTTCACTGAACAGTAAGAGTGATTAATAAATCCATATGAAACAGTCACATCTTGCTTTCAGTTTGGGGCTTTGTCCCGTTTTGCACTCACACACAAGCGTACAGCGCCAAAGCCCAAGTGAACCATGCTCAGGCACATCTCTTCCAACCGGGCCAGGGCCGGCCAAGTGAACCGTGCCTAAGCCCGATTCAGAGCACTCACACTTCTCAAACATTCCGGGAAATGGGCCTTGGCCATTTAGCATAGTGTGAGTAGGCCCTAAGTCTTTAGGTCAAGAAATGTTTAAAAAAATCAGTGATTCTCCATAGTGGCGATTTGTGTAATTCCATAAAATCCACATGAATTCATTCAGATCACCTCCCCAGTGGCTAAACAGGTTTCATAATTTTTAACTGATCTTAAATTAGTTTAACAAGTTTGTAGATGTTTAATAACAGGGCTCGATTAATAACTTTTTTGATCACCATGCCACTGTGGCTAGTAGTTTTTCAACATTACTAGCCACTCACCATTTTCACTAGCCACAATTTTGTTGTTGTGAAAATATATTTTATATGCATAAAATTTGACTTTGGCATGCTAAAATTACTTGATTGAGATATTGGGTTATTTACACATGACTTCATTTCACTGTTGTGTTGTGTATGAATTTGCTCAGTGAGCATTGGCAAATCAGTAGTGATTTCATGGTGTTGCATTGTAATTAGTTATTATTTAACGTGTCTTTTCAGGGCTCAACATTAAGTGTGTAGCAAATTTTCCTCTGGCCACACCGAAAGACAAATTCAAAAGCTTGTCAATTCCCGAAGGCTATCCTGATTGTCAAACCCTGCTTTTTATGAACTACAATTTTTAAAATTATTTTCAACCAACCGAAGTGGCTAGTAGGAGCAGCAGTCTAGCACACCCGCGGGTGTTAATGTCAAGCCCTGTTTAATAAGTTATTTGTAAAAAGAAAAAGGGGTGATAGCTAACAGTCTTTTGTTGGGTTGTTTTTTTTGGTCCACTATATGGAACAAACAATATATAAGCCTTGAAAATGTATGAAAGAATGCATTGTTGACATGTCTGCATTATGCACACACTTAATTTTTAATGATATTTGATGGTAAACTAAGTGACTTTACAAGTTATACTTTTAATTTAAAGTTTGCAACATTTCTGAAAAAGTCAATTATAAGTTATTGGTGCAGGCGTCACGAATCACGATGGTGCAGTGGGTAGCACAATCGCCTTACAGCAAGAAGATTGCAGGTTCGAGCCCAGGATGGGTCAGTTGGCATTTCTGTGTGGAGTTTGCAAGTTCTTCTTGTGTTCACATGTGTTTCCTTGGTGCTCCCTCAAATGTGAATGAGTGTGTATGGATGTTTCCCAGTGTTTGGTTGCAGCTGGAAACACATCTGCTGTGTAAAACGTGCTGTATAAGTTGGCAGTTCATACCACTGTGGTGACCCCTGATTAATAATGGCACAAAGACAAAATGAATAAATAAATAAGTTATTTTTGCATTTACACAGTTTTCCTAAAGCTTCGATACATTAAATCATTCTGTGAATAAATTGATTGAGTTGTTTTGAAGATTTGAAAAGCTTTAGGTGCGTTTGATGTGAACCATAACTTCAGTCGATGATCCAACAAGATTAGCTGAGCACAGTTGGGGGTGGAGTTGAAAACAGCCATCAAGTTGGAAATCCAGGTCTCGTAGTTTGCTGTATGACAGATCACAATTTGGTATTTGGTATTGATGCCACATGTGACACCGTAGGGGTTGTGATGTCAAAATAAAGCTCATTGTAGTGCAGCAGCAGTTTGCATTAAACTTTGGATGTCCTAACTTTGAAGATTTTTTGCCTCAAAATGTAATATTACACGTTAACTAAGTCAAGGTTTCCACACTTATTGAAAGTACTTGAATTGCAGGCATATGGATTCAAAGCATGGGAAGTGAAAAGGGTCTGGATGCAGACATAGTGCAGTTGCAATCTGAGCTGCATGCAATGCTTTTTACACCTAACCCTGCCCCTAACCCTACCCCTCACAGTGACATCACTACTTCCAGTGAGTACATTGTGTCCGAGACTTGCAGTTTCATCTTGCAAAACTTTCATGGCATTACATACACTCTCAGAAATAAAGGTTCAAGAGCTGTCACTGGGGCAGTACCTTTCAAAAGGTACATATTTGTACCTGAAGAGTCCATTTTGGTACCTCAAAGGTACATTTTATGGTACATTTGGGTAATAATATATACCTTTGAGGTACTACTAAGTACAAATATGTACCTTTTGAAAAGGTACTGCCCCAATGACAGCTCTTGTGGAGAGGGTAGGCTGAGGGAATTAAGAAAGGCACTTGATTGGAAAGTAATGGTGCTATAGTCCTTAAAAATTGAGTGTGAACCCTGTAAAGTTTAAAACTTGAAATGTACGATCTGTTTACATGAAATAAAACTTTATTACATTTCCTTATCCAAAAAATTTCCTACAGCATTAGATATATTCATATTGTAGATGTGAATGCTAGTGGAATAAGTATTCAGGTGTTGACATCGTGTCAAGTCAGATTTGCATGATTTTCAATTTCCTAGCTGTGTTAAAGCAGAATTTTTATAAAGGCATGATTGGCATGCATTTATATAGATTTTATAGAAATCCTCTATTTTATATTTATTAATTATATCCTGCAAAACCACAGAGAGAATAATAAAAGAGACATATGTTCATATTATCTGATAATTGGATGTTTTTAAACCACAGTCTAAGATGAATTTTTTGACAAATAATACAACAACTAGCTATCAAAAAATAACTTAATAATAAGTAAATAAATGATTAGTGATGATAACAAACAATTCATAATAAAGAAGAGTAATTGTAATTATTATTATTATTATTTTTATAATTTACATCTTTGTCCCAACACTGTACTTATCTTACCTTAAGCATGTCTGTGACGTTAGATAAAGGACAGATAGATAGGGAAAACGTTTTTAAAAGATAATAACCATAATGCAGTGTGAGTATATGCAGTCGAATATGTATACATTTTTATATATAAAGTTAAGTTTTTTTTTTGTTTTTTTTATAGCAATGCTTAAGTCTTTTTAAATGCTTTTGAACAGTATAACAATTTCTTACAAACTAGTAGTCACAAGCCAATATACATAACAACAACAACAAAAAGACTTCCAGTGTTGTAAAATTAGTTTTTCCGAGTACACTGTAAAAATGTTCAGTTCCACACAATTGATTTGTATCGGGACACTATGAAGGTATTAATTTAAGTTATTGGTTTAGCAAATTTAGGTGTATTGAGCATAAAACAATTACGTTATCCCCCCCAAAAAACATTAATTGTGTTGTTGTTGCGACCTTCTTGCTGTGAGGTGACAGTGCTAACTAAGCCACCATGCCACCCGAGAGAAACTACTTTAAGCTTATTTTTTAAACATTGATTTGTCTTATTTTATTATATTTTCAGTCATCTTCAGGCTTCTTTGAAAGACCCTGGCCTGTGATTAAGAATTCTTTGATTGGCTAATAAAACCCCTTTTGCCGGCTTGCCTAATTTCTTTAACTTGCCTAGTTAGCTTTATTATCTAAGCCTTAATTTGCCCTTTAAACTGAACACTATATCACAAAATAACTAGAAAAAATATCATTTACTGTCATCATGGCAAAGATAAAAGAGATAGATTGTAGCCCAAAAGTAATCTACAAACACAAATTGAAATAGTGTGACAATAACATTACTTAAAATTGCATATTGTGCGGTTTCTTTACATTGGATTAAAAAAAAACTTTATGAACAACCAAAAGACCAAGTTTTCAAAACTGACAGTTTTTATTCGCTTGCAGTGTCTCATCTAAAAGTATTGAAGAGGAAGACTTTATACTGAAGTGGATGTGAAGATATTAATTTCTACAGCAGATGGCGCTCTTGAATTGCCCACGTGAAAGCATCAACATAACATTAATCCTGAGAATCTGTACCATTCCAGTGTAGAGAGAGACGGCGTAGACATGCTTTTATTGGGTACATTGTTTATCTTGACCGTTTGATGGTCAAGTGCCCAGAAGTTAAAAATCACGCACTGTCATTTACATCTTAGCGAACTCTTGAAGTGTGTCTTATTTGACAACACTTTAATTTGACGTCCCTCCAACCGGAAAGCTAAATTGCTTACGCAATACCGAAAATCAGTTTTTCCAGCCGTGTAGAACGATGTAATCATTCTCTCATTATAAGCCAGAGAGGATGGAGAAGTGTGTTACAGACAGTATGACTAATGAGAATCTTTTGTGTGTGTAGCAGTGCAGTCTCACAGATATCAGCCCTCAGACTCTCAGTCCATCTGAATGACTTCCAGCTTGTGCTATATGGAGAATTTAGAC